CTAACTCCATCAAAGTTCTGCAAAAAAAAAATTTGCTTTTTTTGTTACTTACATATAAATATCCAACTTTATATTGTTTAGCGGTACTTACATACCAAAATCAACCTACCCTTATATTTATATATATATATATATATATATATATATATATATATATATATATATATATATATATATATATATATATATCAGGTTTGGTCGGGAAGCAGGAGCGATCGCTCTTAAATACTGACTATGGAAATTATATTTAGTTGCAAAAAACCGGCCAGGTTTATTTGACGTTTAGAGAACATTTAAATGTATGTTCGTAAAACAAAAAATTTTGTTTTACGAACATACAAAACATATAAACAAAAAATTTTGTTTTCGAACATACATGGAAACATAAAAAACTTGAATGTTCTCAAAACATCTTGGTGCGGAAGAATAAAAAGACTATTGGCGAACACTAAAAACACGCCAAATTAACCAACAAACTAATTCTATTGGTTCAAAAAATACACTGATTAAGCAAAATAAAGTTGTAGAGTATTCTGTTAAAATGTTTTAGAAATTGTATTTTTCACGATTTATTACGTTTTAAGATTTCTAGCATAAATTATTTTAATAATGTATTATCAATACTATGGCTCATTCTCGGAGCCTGCTCATTTTCGGAGCCATAAATGCAATAAAAGCCGTAAATCTTATAAACTATTATTATTTGTTTACAAAAATAAATGTTTTAAAATATATATTATTTAAATTGTCAAAATTTTGAAAGTTTATTATAAGTTATAGAATTTTATTAGTCTATTCTTATTTTTTATTTAAAAAGTATATATTTTTTATGTAAATGTAATTTTATGTATCTGTTTTTTATTGTTATCTAATCTCTTAAAGCAATTTTTATGATTTAATTTGTTAACAAAGACTTACAAAAATGATTGCGTTTTCAATGAAGTTATTAATAATCATTAAAGTTAATAAAACTAATTATGTAACAAACATATAAAAAGTTTCTGGTTACTAAACACAAATAATGCATACAAAGTAACTTGGGGATGAACAAGCACCACGCTGACGTGAGGTCATGACAGAACACAAATATATATAGCAAGTTGTTAGATATAAAGAAAAGTTTCTAGATATTGGTTTACTAACTCTAATTATTTTCGCTTTTTATTTACTTGGAGTGTTAAAATAAAAATAAGAGTGCTCAACAAATGTTAATAAGGAGCCTAATATATATTTAATTAGTTTTTAATTTGTATTCTACAAAATAGAGTTCTCAATGTTCTTAAAAGAACAGAGCAATTATGCGGTAGTGGTGTAGTGGTAGAGCGCTCGCTTCATAAGCGTAAGGTTCCAAGTTCGATCCCCACCACGTCCCTGGTAGTACCGCGCTCAACATGTTTCTCTGCGCAGCGGCCTTGTTCATCAAGGTTGGTGTTTCGGAGTTATAGAGTTGAGAGAGGGTTATAACCACAATTAAGTAGCCTCCTCGTCTGTAGTGGCCTCTTGGGGAGGTGAAATAACAAAAAAAAAAATAAATTATAAAGTAGTAGAAAACATTCATTTCTCATCAGAAATGAATGATTAAATTAATAAAACTTCAATTTATACCAAAAAATTAAATTATAGGATGTCGCAAATGTCAGTAGGTAAGACATTTTTATTAACTTGATCATTTCTGACTATATATATATATATATATATATATATATATATATATATATATATATATATATATATATATATATATATATATATATATATATATATATATATATATATATATATATATATATATATATATATATATATATATATATATATATATATATATATATATATATATATATATATATATATATATATATATATATATATATATATATATATATATATATATATATATATATATAAGTTTTAAGTTGAAGGATATTTTTTTAATGAAAAATCTTTTAAAAACATTAAAAGTCTTTTGATTAGTACAACCAATAAAGAAATTAGATAGGGAATTCAAAACCAGTAAAACTATATATAAAGTTAATAATGTAAGATATAATAAACAAGAATTTTTGTGGGTTTTTTAGTCGGTTGAATTATTTGGTTGGTAAACTTTTAGGTTTACCTAAAGTTCATGTTTAAAAAATATCTAAGTAGATTTAGAAACGTTTTTACTTGGGAAGATTTTAAGCCTAGAATTATTTATTTATATATTTTTTAAACTTTATTATTACAAAAAATCTACAAAAAATATTTGCATCTGACACTTGCTTTACATAATTTTGATAAGTTGAATTCAAAACTCAAAAAAGGATTTTGAAGTCAAGATACAAAATTTAATAACTAGATACAAATTTTAATAACAAGATACAAATTTTAATAATATTTTATTTTGCAAAATTTATAAATAATTCTAAAAAGCAGACTTGAAATTTTTTTGAAATATATATTTGGGTTTTATGTTTTAAAAAATTAAAATTAAAATGAAAATAGAAAACAGATGAAAAATCATTATAAAGGTCATTATAAAATAAACATTTATATCAAAGTCTTATCAAAGTGGTTAACTTTTTATTTATCATTAAAAGGTTATGTTATATTTAGTTTTTAAAAAAGTTGTAGTCAATATTGTTTAATTAAAAATCAAAATGAAACTTTAGCTTGTTACTATTTTGTTTATAAACTTTGCCTGAGTCATCTAGCTTGATGTCCCAAGAGTAGTCTGCCATCATGTGTTTGTCTCAATATCCTTGTTAACAATCTCTTATTATCTTAAGATATTGGTGGAACCAGAAAAAATTTCTTTTTCTCAACTAACAATGAGTTCATTTGCCATATTTTACATGCCCATGGTAAGATTGTTAAAAAACGGGCCTTTTTTTTTGTATTCAAAATAGATTTCTTGCTTGACTTACATATATCTTCCATATAGAGATAGTATGGAAATTTAGTAAAACCTTTTTGTTGACAAAGAGAAAGTTAACCATTTAAAGATTTACACAAATAATCCACTTGTTATTTTATTTGTTTTATCTTATTTAATTAAGTAAAGCACAATTTTTATGTCAAAATAAGTCTACTGCAAATTTGTAAAAAATTAAAAATATTGCCATGGCAAAGGTTTTAGGCTTTGCTTTTAGCTATTGATAAAAAGTCTTTAAGTTGGATTGTATACATGAATATCAAGCTGCATTAGGTAACCTGAAATATCATGACAAAACAAATTTTATCAAAAAGTTAACAAGGATTTTATCTTTTGTTCTAGAATTGGAAACTTTTGCAAAGCTGTCAAAAAGGTTCTTTTCCATTAATCTAGAGGCTAATAGTTCTGCTGCTTGCTTAGAAAGTCCCAAATGATGCACTAAATTTCAATTGCTTAGCATTAAGTGGAGAAGTTTTCCAAATTTACAGAAATTTTTAAAAATATTTCTGAATTTGTAGCAGCCATGCTTTGTTAATTTTCTAACAAAAATAAATCTTTCAAAATTAGAATCTGAATCTCTCCAGAATGTGGAATTGGTCTAATAGCACAAAAAATGTTGGGATAAGCTAATCTTTGACTCCATATTTTTCCAATATTTTTTTTTTGAGACCTCATGGTTTGTTTATAACAAACCATGAGGTCTCAAAAATACCAATATTATAAACAAACCATGAGGTCTCAAAAGTTATTTCTTTTTCCTTTTGACCAACACTTCAAACACTTCACAAATATAGCACACATTAAGGGAGACTAGAGGTAGTTGCAAAGGAAATAAGTTACAACATGCCTTTTAAAGGATGGGTCTTGTATATTTCCTAATCTAATATAAGATATAAATAGCAATATATATAGCAGATATAAAAAACTTATGATAAATTACAAATTTCAAAAGTAATTTATAATTTTATATATATATATATATATATATATATATATATATATATATATATATATATATATATATATATATATATATATATAAATTTCTTATTTGTTTTTTGAAAGTTTATTTGGATTTTGATGAGATGCATGACCAAAATAAAATAGTGGGAAGCATACAATCTTGAATTAGAATGTGCAATAAAGTATGCTTTTAAGTTTCCCCATTCTTTAACTTTTAATTAAATTATCATTCAAATTTATCTATCAGAACTTTAGAAGCAATAAGTTATTCATGAGCAACTTAATTCTGCTAATGTAGGTATTTTTTTCATAAATTGTCAGATTTTATTGATGGAAATGAATTGTCAGTTACATTAACATATAATTTTTTTTTTAAACATCTTCACTTCTAACAAGGCTGCAACATCTTCACTTCCAACAAGGCTGCAAGTAACCACTACTTGTAGAGTTATAAGTTACTGGAAAAGATATTAGTGGATATGAGTTGCCTAGTCAAAAAAACAGAGACACAAACAAAACCCATGCATTGAGTCAAGATCCAGCATTCAACATCCTACACTGGAAACAATATATTATAAATAGTGGTTACTACCAGTGGCATGGTGGTGATCGAACTTGGAACTTTTCCAAGTTCGATCACCACCATGTGTAGTGGTATAGTGGTATAGTGGTAAAGAGGTATTTTAATTATTGTAGTGGTATAGTGGTAAAGAGCTCCCTTATAAAGGGAGCTCTTTACCACTATACCACTACACCACTACGCATATGTGTAGAAGTGTAGTGGTAGTTTAAAGTGGGTTATATATTAATAATTATTTAATACAACCCACTTTGAATGGGACATGTAAGGTTAACACCAGGAAGAGAATCCAGCTGTAAAAATTTGCTTGAACTCTTCAATAATATCATTTAAACTAATGCGTATAGAAACCCATCAAACAATGGCGTATTTAAATGTAGTTTAAAGCAGTTGTGCAATTAATGGCGTTAAATTAAAATATATTTATAGGTTCAATAATTTGTTTTGGTCTCTGGAATTAAATTGAAATTAGTTATTAATTTAATTGTGTTGCAATTCAATACATGTGAAATATATTTAAAAAACAACAGCTTGTTTTTTTAGGGTGTTTGTGTTGGATATGAGTTAGTAATGATAATGAAGCTTAACAATATCAATATTTATAACATCAGCAAGCAAGTAAGTTTTATAAAAATATGTTGTATGACAATTTTATACCAAAAATATGTTGTATGACAATTTTATACCAAAAGGGTTTACATTAAAATAAGATCATTTAAAATACCAAACATTCAAGAAATAATTTTTATTTAAAAAAAAATAATATTTACAACGAGTAGGTGTAATAAATTTTTTTTTTTTCATTTACAGGCTTGGACAGGAATGGCGTGTAATTGAGTAATAAATCGCTATTACTGACCATGCAAATGATATTATTTTTTGACAACTTGACCACAACTGTTTAGATGTTTAGATGATTTTGAAATGTTTTTAAAATGCGCTAAAAAAAGAAATGCTAGCTAAACCTTAACTACAGTTGTAGGAAATAATATTATAAAGAAAAAAGAAAGCAATTTCTTTGGAAAATAAAAAATAAATATGCACTAAAATAAAACTCAAAAATTCAAACTTCTTGTTATGTTTTATGTTCAAAATAAATTACTTAAAAATTTATCTTTTTAAATATTTTGTTAAAGTTAAACACTTTACTTTTAAAATTACTTTTATTAATTACTTTTAAAATTACTTTTAATGATTATTAAATTAATGAACAAGTTTTATTTAAATTACTAAAAAGTGTTATATATATGTATATATTATTTTTAAATTGTGTAAACATTTTTTCCAAAAAGTTGCTAAAAAAAAGGTTGTTTAAAAAAAATAGTAAAATAGTATTTTTTAATCATTTCATGCTATGATTAGTTAGTCAAGTAAAAAAAAAAAAGTTTTGAACAATTTTTTGTAAAAATAGAAATAAAAAATAAAGCAACTAAATCATATTTCATATTTCAATTCCATTGCAACGGAAAATTTATTTTAACTTATTCATAATTTAAAGCAATTTAAAAAATCTCTCAAAAGATTTTTTAAAGACATGAAAAAAAAGTTTTAAACAAATTATTAAATTTAAATTTATCATGAAAAAAAATGTTCCTACATAAAAAATATTTAAATATTACATTATTTGTTAATTTACACAAAATACGTTTATTTTAAATTCTTTATTTAAAACCTTTGCGTAAAATAAAAACTTTAGGAAAAATCAACAATTGAAAGTTATTTATATCGTAACAATTTTTTTTATAGTATTTAAATTGCAAAAACATTAAAACCGCTGTGGTCAAGTTGCAAAGAAAAAATATTATAAGCATGGTTACAGTGTGCGATCGCACACGATTCCTGTCCAAGCCTCCATTTAAGATTTAATTGTTTTATTAATTTCTGGTTCTTTAACTTAGATTCTTTATTTTTTTCCTTCTTATTTCAATTATTTTATTTTTTGTTTAGAAATCTTTGAAAAGAATATTTTTATTAACTATTTGGGGCTTGGTCTTGTTGTTATTTCGAATTTATATCATGAGTTCTAGTCTCCCAAACTTTTCATATCAAGATAATCCTGGTTCATTTCAAAAGTCATTAGTTGTGCGGGTAAAAAGCTATTTTAGAAGTTAATTTTTTTTTTTTATTTTTCAATTTTCAAATTTTTTAATTTATTGTTATTTTTTTAGGTTTACAACTACATCTATCATTATTCAATAAATATATGGCTCCTTTTATCTCCCCATTGGTTATGTTTTGATTGGGCAATGGGTTGTATTCCAATAGTTAAATCTTTAACTGATTTGCGGTTATTTGCTCCAATGTTTATGATTTTATGTTTCGGCAGTATTTGTTTGAAAACCTTGCTCAATCTAAAAATATATTTTATGAGGTAATTGTTAAAAATATTTTCAAGTATCTTAAATTAATTTTTAAACTAAATATAAATTACTCTAAAATGACACTTGAACACTGGCTATCAAAATTCCTGCTGCCTTTCTCCATTCATTAGTAAGACTGAATATTTTCTCCATTCATTAGCAAAACTGAATATTTTCTCCATTCATTAGTAAGACTAAACATTTTCTCCATTCATTAGTAAGACTGAATATTTTCTCCATTCATTAGTAAGACTGAATATTTTATCAAGACTGATTCTGAGCATTATTTTTTTATTTTAAAAACAATCAACAACAAAATATATTGATAATTGAGTTTAGGACAAAATTTGAGCATTTAAGCATTGGAACAAAATTTCTTCCTTTATTCTAAAAATTTTCAGAATTTAGAAAATCTATCAAATTTAAAAAACTATTAGGCATGAAAAAATTAAATATAAAAATTATTAAAAATAATCAAATGTTAGTTGAAAATTAAAATTGTTAAAAAAAGTAGTGCTAGATAACAACAATATATATATATATATATATATATATATATATATATATATATATATATATATATATATATATATATATATATATATATATATATATAAATATATATATATATATATATATATATATATATATATATATATATATGTATATATATATATATATATACATACATATATATATACATGGGTCGAAATAAGTGCCGGACATCGCCGCCCCTCAGACCATTTTTAAGACCTGCTAGGTCAGGTCAACAACCATTGTTCATTTTTACTGCAAAAATGAACAATGGTTTGTTGCCCTCATCTAGCAGGTCTCAAAAATGGTCTAAGGGGCGGCGATGCCCGGCACTTATTTCGCCCCCTGTGTGTATATATATATATATATATATATATATATATATATATATATATATATATATATATATATATATATATATATATATATATATATATATATATATATATATATATATATTTATATATATTAGTTACATGGACCTGTAAAATACAGGTTTTTGTAAGTCTATTTCTTAGTGTCTAGTTATTAGTAAGACCATTTCTATACTTATTTACTTCAATATTTTTTTTTATTTATGTGTATATTTTATGAATATATGCTTATGCATAAGTGTTTATTTTCTTTTCTTAAAATGCGTGTTGATAAATATTATAATTTTTAAAATTTTTATACATAAAATAACAAAGGTAAAAATATGAAAGACTGGTGCAAAGATAGTACATATCTGCTTAAACTTAAAAAAACAGCTTTTTCAAATATTAAACTTTAGAGTTTGCTGGCTTACACAAGTCATTTTTTACAACTATTTGATGTTGTTATTTTGAAAACAATTAAAGCTAAGCGAAAGATGAAAATTTTTAAACTTTTACGAAAAGCTGATTGATCTTTTAATATGTAATTATCATTAATTTATTAATAATAACATACTTAATGTGAACATTTTCTGTTAAGTTATATATGTGTGTAATTGAATCTGTGTATTGGTAATTGAATCTGTGTATTGGTAATTGAATCTGTGTATTGGTAATTGAATCTGTGTATTGGTAATTGAATCTGTGTATTGGTAATTAAATCTGCGTATTGGTAATTGAATCTGTGTATTGGTAATTGAATCTGTGTATTGGTAATTGAATCTGTGTATTGGTAATTGAATCTGTGTATTGGTAATTAAATCTGCGTATTGGTAATTAAATCTGCGTATTGGTAATTGAATCTGTGTATTGGTAATTAAATCTGCGTATTGGTAATTGAATCTGTGTATTGGTAATTGAATCTGTGTATTGGTAATTAAATCTGCGTATTGGTAATTGAATCTGTGTATTGGTAATTGAATCTGTGTATTGGTAATTGAATCTGTGTATTGGTAATTGAATCTGTGTATTGGTAATTGAATCTGTGTATTGGTAATTAAATCTGCGTATTGGTAATTGAATCTGTGTATTGGTAATTGAATCTGTGTATTGGTAATTGAATCTGCGTATTGGTAATTGAATCTGTGTATTGGTAATTGAATCTGTGTATTGGTAATTGAATCTGTGTATTGGTAATTGAATCTGTGTATTGGTAATTAAATCTGCGTATTGGTAATTGAATCTGTGTATTGGTAATTGAATCTGTGTATTGGTAATTGAATCTGTGTATTGGTAATTGAATCTGTGTATTGGTAATTGAATCTGTGTATTGGTAATTGAATCTGTGTATTGGTAATTGAATCTGTGTATTGGTAATTGAATCTGTGTATTGGTAATTAAATCTGCGTATTGGTAATTGAATCTGTGTATTGGTAATTGAATCTGCGTATTGGTAATTGAATCTGTGTATTGGTAATTGAATCTGTGTATTGGTAATTGAATCTGTGTATTGGTAATTGAATCTGTGTATTGGTAATTATGGGCATAAAAGTTTAAAATAAAATATGAGTAATATTAATCTGAATACAATTTTTTTTTGTATAGTTCAAAAAAAAAAAAGTTTATTATTTGCTCTAACAACCGATTTATACTATTTTTAGTGTATTTCAGTACATTATGATGCGTATACATTAAATTGCATATATATTAAATTACGTATACATTAAATCATGAATACCTTAAATTACGTATACATATATAAAATAATATAAATATAATAAATAAAATATATAAATATATATAAATAAAAAAATTGCATATATATTAAATTACGTATACATTAAATCACATGCAGTTGTGTAAAATTAAATATAGTAAAATAAAAACAAAAGTTTTAAATATAGTTATTGTTTTTTTTTAATTTTTTGTAAAATTTGAAACTTAAAATTTAACTAACAGTTACTTTTTACTACTTTCAACACAACACATTCTGTACAGCACACATTTATCTTGGTATAAATGAGTTTGTAAAATTAGGTTATGGTGTATACTTTGAAATACAAGGGCTTGTTGGTTTTTTTCAAATATAAGATTAAAATTATGTAGTTATAAAATTTATTGGCTTAAATAATATACATTTGAGAAATTTTGTAATAATGGTTTTCAGTGGTAATTTTTTTAATATAATTTTTTATTTACTGTTTTGAATCTGAATAAAATATAAGAAGTTTTATAAATTTAATATTATTAATTTTTTTATAAATTTAATATTATTAATTTTATAAATTTAATATTATTAATTTTATAAATTTAATATTATTAATTTTATAAATTTAATATTATTAATTTTATAAATTTAATATTATTAATTTTATAAATTTAATATTATTAATTTTATAAATTTAATATTATTAATTTTATAAATTTAATATTATTAATTTTATAAATTTAATATTATTAATTTTTTGTTATTTAGATGTTTTGCTATGGGAGTTATCTTTATGGTTGTTCCTTTTCTTCCATCTACAAACATATTTTTTCGTGTTGGTTTTGTTATTGCTGAACGAAACTTGTATATACCATCAATTGGCTTTCTTATGTTGGTAGTCCTTGGAACTGTTGTGTTATGTTCTACTGTTAGATTACAAATGGTATATATTATCTTCAGCAACACTCTGCATAAAGAATATAGAAGTTGTAAAATAAATTATTTAAATAGTTATAATAATAATTTATAATCTAGGTGAAATATTTCTATAAACCTATAATCTCTATAATATCCTCTAAAATCTCTGCAATATTATTATGAAATTTTATTTATATAACTAGAGGTTTTTTTAGTTATGAATTTTTTTCAGTTTTATTTCATAAAACGCTTTTTTTTTTAATATTTATGTTTTAAATTTTTTATTTTTAACTTTTCAGTTGATGGCATTTTTCTGGAAACTTTTGATCATTGTCTTTATTCTTAAATCTTATAATGTAAGTTAATTTTTTAATTTAAATATTTTTATTATTAATTTTAATCTCTTAATATAATTGTTTAATAGTTATATTATAATCTCCTATATATAATTAAATAAATCCAGATATATATACCATAGTTATGTATAATGAACCAGAAGCAATTTTTTTATCTTTAAATTCCCATATGTAATTTTGGCAGCACACATTTTTGAACACATTTTATTTTTAAAAGATTGGCAAAACATTTAATGTTAGTTTATCTGGTCTTTTTTTTTTTATCTATTCTTAAAAAAAAAATTATTATTTATCATGTACATTCTTAGATATAACAGTAAACTTTAGAAACAGCACATAGCACATTTTTCAATTAAATGTCAATAAATTGTTGATTAACATTTACCACTCATTGAGCAATTGCTTTTTTGTTTGCAATTGTAATTTTTTATTTTGAATATTGTTTTTGCATAACCAATACATTATCGTACCTTTTTATAATTCTTTCTACATTTTTTATGCAACTGTAGCTATGTTTAATTGTATTTTGGTTAAATATTTTATGAAATTTATTAGTTTATCAACCAACGTTAAAAAAGCTTTTCTAATATTAGCAGTATTTTTATGTAACAAATTGTGTTTTTCTATTTCTATTTTGCTTTTTGCATTCTTTTTTTCAGTTTGTAAAAGGTAAAATTTTAGTTTAAAATTTTGAAAACCACTTTTTAAAGAGGTTCATCTTTTGATGAACCTCTTTAAAAATGCCAGCATGCAAAAATGTGCTAGCCACATGGCCATTATTAGGCTGGCGTGTGCAATTTTGAAAATTTATATTTTATTTTGTATTTTAATTTTTTTTTTTTTAAACAAAAATTAAATGCTTTCAAAAATTCTCAATAAAATTAATAAAATAAAAGCGACAAAATGAACATTTTATTGTAGTTTTATTTAATTGTAAATAAAATAATTTGTTTCTAAAAGTGTTATCAGGGTTTTTTCCTAAAAGTATTTGATGAACAATATAATTATGCTTATTTCATTGAAACTCAATATTTTAACCCAATATAACCCAAAATAAAGAAAGTGTTATAATATCTTTTCTAGTTTTATCAAACTCTGGATCAGAATTTTTACACATTTTAATAAAGAACTAATTAATATTAATTAATTTACTTGATAAATTCAAAATAATATAGTCAAATAAATTAAAGTTTTGCTCCATCATAACTCCCTGTTGTTACATCAAACCAAACATTTATAAAACATATTTTCTGTTTCCTAATTCAAATTAAGTAAGATCCTTCTGCAATCCTTTATTATACTAACTTCTATTACTCTTCTATGAGTGTTTCTAAAAAATCTCTTGAAAAAATTTATTTTTTTAACAACATTCTAAAGAGTATTACGAGCATTTGAAAATAAAAGATAATATGGACTACCACTTAAAATAAATCTTTTAAAATGACAGCCATCTATGATCAAAACACTAATGTTAATACTTTTAACAATTACCTTTTCAATACCTGAGCTCTCTATCTATGTCTTTTAGATGTGCAGCTATACATATGGCTTTAGGTCTTAAAATTCACTTTTTTGAATGATTGCTTTTGGAAAAAGATATTTTTGTTGTTTGATTCTAATCAAATTTTGTTTGAAAATTTTTCTGGTAGCACCAGTAAACTTATAAATAAAAGTGTTTACTCCAGCAAATGTCGTAGTTTACTCCAGCAAAGGTTGTTGAGTTAAAAAGAACTCATGAGTTTTGGGAAATACTTTTGTAAAACTGTGACAAGTGACAAGTACGTTTTCTAGACCATCATAAGCTGTAGAAGAGTTTAAGTGATAAAACATAACTTGAGCAAACAATATTGTATTTTTTGGTGTTGTGATTTATTTTTTTTTTTTGCTAATATTAGAAAAAATTTCCTTTAGGAAATTAAAAAAATGCAAATTTAAAAAAAAATTCCTTTCATTAAAGTGTTAGCTGATTATTGATTTTTTTTTTTTTTTAAATTTTTTAATAATTTTTACTTATCATTGATAGAATAGGCCAGCCTATTGAATAGGAACCTATCAAGCAACACCCTATAGAGTAATAAAACAAATAAAACAATATTTTTTTTTTAATTTAGTATTGTATATATGTATGATGAAATATATTTGAAAATAATGAGCACATATTAACAAGTATATTCGAAAAATTTCTTTAAAAATTGAGAAGCCATATTTAATGCTTCAATTTTAAAATATTTATCTTTCTAAGCAGATATATGCATAGAAAGATAATTTAAAATTAACATAGTTTTTAATTAATATTTATTTTAAATTTTTTTTTTTTTTTTTTTTTTTTGTATATATTATATAGTTATATTTTTGTATACTTTATATAGATAAATGAATTTTCTTAATTTTGTTAATAGAATATTATGTTCATAAAACTTTTTTTGAAAGAGCAAGTAACAAGTTATTTTGATATTTTTAAACATGGAAGTATCCAATGAAAATAAAAATTTGGCTTTTTTAAAACTTTGCTACCTAATAAAAAACCTAATCTCTGATGTGAGATTAGAGATTTTTAGATGTATTTAAATGTTTAAATAATATTTGTAATTTTTAGAGAGCTTCAAAATGGTTAAATGAAATGGATTTGTTTACATCTGGGCTTGAAGTTTGCCCATTGAATGCAAAAGTAGTTAAATTATTATTCATTTGTTTAACTAGTTTTTAAATTTTTTGTTTTTAATTGTTTTACTTTGAAGATAAATGTTGCCTTAAATAATAAATAGATAAATCCAACCATGTCCCCCACCCCTCTCAACCTTTGTTTAATAAAATTTGTAGCTTTTTTGTAGCTCATTTTGTCGTCGAAATGATTGAAATATCCCTCAATGCCCCAAGATATAGGGGCATAGGTTGAAGTTGAAGGTACCTGGGATTTTTCTTCATAGAATTATCAGTTAGGTATAATAGGATAACCCTAGCCAAAAATTAAAATTGGAGCTGCTCCTAAAATAGAATTTTTGCGAATTTTTTATTTTTAATGGTAATAAATTTTATACCACCATAATCTAGTTATCTTAGGCTCTACAGATAACTTTGAAAGACCCAATAGAAGAGAATAAATCTTACAATTTTAAATTATGATGACAATGTATTTGTTTTTGTTAGTTTTTATCTTCAAATTTTTTGTGTTTTTTATCTTCAAATATTGATATTGAATCAAAAATGCAATTTTTATTTATTTATTCAAATGCAAAATACTGCATACAAATATTTGTAATAGTTTCATAATATGTTATTATGGTTTTCTCAATACAATGTTCCATAATCCATCATATCTTTATGTTTGTTTTTTTAAATTATAAAATAGATTGAAAGTACATTAGGAAGTTATTGTAGTTTACATATGAACAATTTCTTCATCTTAACCAACTGATACTTGATACATTATCTTTACATTCTCATGGAGCTATATGTTACAGCTATTTTTTTTCAGTTTTTCTTCATGAAAAAGATTACTTTCAGAGGCACTAAACCTCTTAATAGTCTTATGAATGTTCTTGTAAACACCTTTTGAGGTTTGTTCTCAACATGTCAGATTATAATAAATATGATGACGATCCAAATAATCATTCAAGTGATATTTAATGATATGGTACTTCTGTCCGTGACATGTGAACCTTTGAACCTTTCTTAGCATAATCTTTCAGGTAGTCCATGGAGTCAGTGAAAGCTCAATGGACTACCTGAAAGATTTTGATAAGATGGATCTAATGTCATTCCAAAACAGCTCTCATATACTACAAATAAAATGTATCATCTTGGTAAGATCATAAAGCATATTACTAATATAATATGTAATAAACCTGCTTTGAATTTTCTCAATGTGTCCATTGTACTAAATGCAATAGATACATGCATATTTCCACCATGGGCAGATAATCTTAGCATGATGTTGATCAGCTTAAGGTCTGAAGCTAAGAACTTCAGTTCATGCAGTTTGAGAAGTTGGAAAATTTGAACTAAATTGCAGCTGTTTTCTTCTACAAGTCGTTCATTTGTCAGTAAAATAACTTTGTTTACAGCTGAGTACTTTTGATTCCTTAGTTGATCCTCAAGTTTTGCTAAATCAAAAAGGTTTATAGCAACCTTAATTGACTTTTGGCCCCCATCAATGCTGATTCCCATAGTTGCTTCTTGGACATAGATGAGTTTTTTCCGGCAATTTCCGGAATTCCGGAAATTCACTTAAAACTCCTTTAATTTTGTGTTTAATTTAATGTTTTTTGTTATTAATTTGAAAAAAAAATTATATATTTTTACATAAAATTTTAAATACGACAACTTTTGCATTTAAACAAATATATTTTTTATAATTAAAATTTTTTTGCATTTTAATTCATTCAAATTAACTTTTTCGAATATTAGAAATTCTTTTTCCGGGATTTTCATAAAGTCAAATACTCATCTATGCTTGGAGGACTATATTTCTTTGTTTGCATATTTCATCAACAAGTGTAGGTATATCTTGATCATATACTACTTCTTTTTGAACCTCTATATGGTTAGCACCTTGCTGAAGTATTAATTGCCCTACTTGATAGAAATGTATTCTAGTGAATGTGAAATATTCGTTTCAGCCTTCACATTGCTCTCAAATCCTGATCAACATGCTTTTGATTAAACATTTAGGAAGATGCTTTCCTTTGATCTTAAATAATTTGTCTGTTCTTTTTGGGAGTGGTACTCTCTCCAATCTGTACATGTAATAATGTTCCACTTGTTGACAGTTTAACCTTACCCCGTTTTTTAACAGTTTTCAGAACCTTTGATACTACCTATTGAGACAATTTTCAATTTTCAGACAATCAAAAAAAATCTTCAATTTTCAGACAATCAAAAAAAACATAAAAATTTTCTTTATGTTTTTAGCAGTTGATTTTTTTATATATTGAATACTTTATATATTGAAAGCAATTTCAATTACAGTCCAGTGGGAAAGGAGTTGAATTCAACATCAAAGCTTCCATCTATATGCTTTCTTACTAGATTTCTTAAAGCAATCTGCAATGAGTTTTGTAGGTTTATACATTGTTCTTGTTGCAACATCTAAAATGAATTATACTTCTACACTCCAGGTGATTTCTTTTCTGATTCAAATGTGTTAACATTATTCAAATTATTTAAATGTGTTAACATTATTAACATTATTCAAATTTTATATAGTACATCAACTTGAAATGTTTTAATTTTTAAATATATATATGAAATATTCACGAAAATAAATACATTATTATTCTAATTTTAAATTGTAAGGTTAGTTCGCTTCTATTGGGTTTTTTAGGCTATCTGTAGCACCAAAATTAACAAAGTTATGGTGGTAACTTATTGCCATTAAAAATCATAAATCCGTTCAAATTCAATTTATAAGCAGTTCCAATTTATAATTATAATTTTTGACTAGAGTTATCCTATTATGCCAACCTGACAATTCTGTGCAGAAAATTCTCAGCTACCTTCACCTTCAACAAAAACCCTCTGGGAGCAGTGCCATGGTTGTTATGATCCCTTTGTTTATTTGGCACTTCAGAGAAGTGTTTAAATGTTATTTTTGTGCTAGTTTTATGTTTTTAGAAATTTGAAATCAATTGACAATTGCATCAAATTACTTTTGTGAGGTGTAAATGTTTATTCTTTAGAATAAACATTTACACCTCAGAATAATAAAATAGTTCTAAAAATGAATTATATGATAGTGTTATATAAATTTCTAGGTTCATTACAATATTGGCAAAGTTAACCAGGATAAAGGCAATTTAGATGAAGCTATAAAAGCTTATCATAAAGCAATAAGGTAACTAATAGATATCTACCCTCTTTTTAAAACATTATTAAGGACTAATCCGAATTTTTATCTTTTATTTTTATATCAGTTAAGTCAATCTAATATATTTTTATATCAGTTAAGTCAATCTAATAATATTATGCAACTTAAAGTTGGCTTCTGAAAAATTATACCTTTAATTTGAAAAGCCTCTAGTTCTTAAACTTTAAGAACTAGAGGCCTTTCAAAAAATCATCAGTAGCGCTGTTTTGGTATTGTTGCAAAAATTAAAAAATTTAATAGAAAAATAATTTAAATTACATATTGTTGCTATGAGTAACTATTGTGATGAGTTAAATTCAAATAAATACACAGGAAGTATCAATTAAAAATATTTTTGTTTGTGCAGATGCTTTCCATATGACAACAAAAAACTTTCATCATTAAGCTCAAGAAAAATAAAAAGTTGGAAAAAAGGTTCAATTACATTTTGGTGGGAGTGTTGACAGGTATAAATATGATTGTCAAATCTAACAGTTGATAGGCCAGTTCTGCAACTAGAAATGTGTCCATTTATTCGTAATCTTACATTGTTTGTTTTACCAGTATATGTAGCTTGTTTTTTGCATGACCAACATTTAAGGTAATAAATTACATTTTTACTGTTGCATATGATGTGACTTTTTATTTTCAAAATAGTGCCATTAGATATTTCAAACTCATCTATTTCTTGAAGATAGAGTTTGTATATTTTACACCGAATGTCTTTGCATTTAAATATACCAGTCTTCTTATTAGTAGTTTCTTATTAGTTGCTTCAACTTTTGAAGAAGTAAGTCTTCTTAGTAAAAGAAGATATCGATTCATTAACAAAAATGTATAAAATATATAAACATTTTATAAAAAAAATAATATGAAAATTGAAAAAAAAAATTTTTATTTAAAGACAAAATGTGTGTAAAATGATGTTTATAATTAGCAAACAACAATGAAAGCAGTTGAAGAAACCACTACAACAAAATGCAATAAATCTATATGAATATCCCAAATCCACTATTAACCATTTCATATTTAGGAAAAATAAATGAAATATATATATATATATATATATATATATATATATATATATATATATATATATATATATATATATATATATATATATATATATACATATATATATATATATATATATATATATATATATATATATATATATATATATATATATATATATATATATATATATATATATATATATATATATATATATTCTTGCCTGGGAGTCTTTGATTTTTTTTTCCAAATTAGTTTAACCAACGGGAAAAAGTTTAAAAACTTTTTTAAAATATTTTTTTTTCAATCGATAGAACACCTGATTTTTTTTCAATCGATAGAAATCCTCAGTCAATGGAAGAACACTTTTTTCATGTTCTACCATTTTAAATGTTTTTAAAAAAACTCTAATCTATTAATTTTGCTTTTGTGGTTTTTAAAAAAAAGATAAATTCAATTAATTTTAATGGTTTTAACATAAGTGTACTTATTTTTGTCTTCTTTAAGCACAAAGAATCATTAAAAGTTGTTTTTTAAATGGTAATTTTAGATATCAAACTATAGGAATATATATATACATATATTCATATATATATATATATATATATATATATATATATATATATATATATATATATATATATATATATATATATATATATATATATATATATATATATAAATTTATAACAAGCTATATTATATATTATAAATAAATGCAACAACAAAATTTTGAAGAATAACAAATAAAAATTTGTTTTTTTTTCAGATTATTTTTTTCTTCTGTTTTTTAACTTAAGGTTGACTAAGGTTGACTTTTTTGAAATATTCTTATTGCCAACTACAAACACAAGTATTTATAAAAACTTTTAATAATTTATAATGATTTATAATTGTTTAGTTAAAGTGAGAGTTCACAAAGATCTTTTGAGATATTATATTCAAGGACAAATAAGAGATTTATAGAGATTAAGAATGAAATAAAAAGTAAGAAAACAATATGCCCATTATTAAGTCAGTAGTAAAAGACTACTGACCTTACAAAAAAAAAGTAAACTTGGGGACCCATTACAATAATTGTTTGCAGTAAACAACTGAGTTTTGTTTCGTGTTAATTTCACTGCAAGTTCCAAAACACTGAAGAGAATTGACATTCAAGATTAGCCTGTTCAAAAAGTATTGAGATTTTAGAGGTTTTTGCCGCTTTAGAGGTAAAATTATCAGGAAGATCATTAATTTAGTTGTGAAGCATACAGGAACAAAAATAGAATTTTGTGGCACCCCAGAAGTTAATGGAAATGAAAGTGAGTGTTATCCATTAAAGACAAAGTTAATATTGCAGTTAGAAAGCAATTTTTCAATCATTCCTAGATATTAAAAAAGAGCTTTAAGATTAAAAGAGAGATTAATGGTCAGTAAAGTTCCCAGAGAAGGTTATTTTGTCAACAGCTCTAAAATATCAGAGTATTAAAAGTTCTGTGTTGTGTGTGGATGGTGTTTCCTAGTGCTTTTGGTGTGTTTTGTTAGGGCCACATAAGTAGCCTTTTGTCACCACTTTAGGTTAATTAAGGTGTACACTTTCTATGATTAAATCAAGTTCTCTTATTACTGAAAATACACTTTAAAATAATAATAGCCATAAATAAACCATAATTACCACATAATTGTTTCAAACAATTCCCTTACAAATATTTGTGTGTACTTAAATTTCCGCAGAAACTTTCCAACAGACGGAAATTGACTTTAAAGTAAATTTCCTCCTATTAGGTTTGTGACTTCAATTCCATCTGTTTATGCTAAGGAACTTACTACCAACTGGCTTCAGAACAATTAAATTGAATTTTAGAACTGTACCATTATTAGGAGATAACAGGAAGAGTTGCATAGCCACTACAAGGAAAGTCAAGCAACAACTCATAAATAGACTCAATAAGGTTCAGCATTTACCATCCTAGACAGGAAACAATGTATCGCAGGTTGACATCTACCTCAGCTAATTTGATGAAGGTGTGCAAAGCTGGATTAAAAGATATTTTCTGCCTACCTCTGATCCTGTTGACCCTAATGCTCTAAATTTTTATTTTTCTCAATGTTTTAGTTAACTTGGTGATAGCTAACTTTGTGACTCGTTTTTATGATAACTGTAATTATTTACCTTTATTCCTTGATTTGTAACTTGTTGTTAACCCTAGTTTTTGCTCAGTTTCTTTTTTTGTTCTTTTTTAGGTGATTCAGATCATGATTTTAATATGATATGATGATCATGACATCATGACATCATGATCAATGTTATAATCTTAATGATGCTAAAACTTTGATTTTTTACTTCTTTAGACTTGCCCTATCATTGCACTTCAAACTTGCCTATCATTGCACTTCAGACCTGCCTATCATCTCACTTCAGTTTCACCTATCATTACACTTCAGTCTCGCCCATCATTGCACTTCAGACTCGCCCTATCATTGCACTTTAGAGCTGACTTAGAGGTTCTTTTTATGGGCTAAAATCTTTTGTCTTTGCTGAAAATTACCCTGGCTTTATAAACTCTAGGATTCGTTCAGACATGGAACGTTTTGTTCCAAGTCAAGTCTCATTCTATCCCATTTTCTACTTACCCCCTTGTGCTACTTCTATTTCTTATCATAATCTGTTTCTTATTTGCTTTTTCATCTGTTTCACTAGAACTCTCTGTAGAACATGCATCTTTTTATTATTGCAAGAAATCAATGCAAAAAGAAGACACTAAGGTCTTATATTCTTCAATTACTAAGTCTTGCATTTTATCTTAAAAGTTTTGATCCAGAGACTTTTTGAAAATCTTTAAAAAACGAATTAATGAAGAAAAGTCTAATATTTTGTCTTTCATACATAGATCTGATCATACCTTTTCTAAGAATAAGAGAAAACTATTGTAAAGAACTTTATCTCTATTTTTTGTATTTAATGGTTACATACTGTCATTCCAAAGAAATAAGTTAATCTATTGTTAGACACTGTTGCTTCTGTTGCTAAAATTATTACCCAACATTCCTGTCTTACAAAAGAACTATTACTTCTAAACTATTTAACAAATGCATCAACTCATTACTCCATGCAGCAGCCTTGTTCGTCAAGGTTCGTGTTTTAAAGTTATAGAGTTGAGAGAGGGTTGTAACCACAACTAAAGTAGCCTCCTCGTTTTCTATTTTTAGTGTGGAATTATCTTCATTACTTCTAAACCACTTAACAAATGCATACCTGACCTTGTTTTTCTTTATCTATAATTCCAATTTTAAAAAACTGTGGATCACTATTCACTACTGTTAGCAGTGTCTTGAATCCTTAATTAACAAACTTTATACTTTATACTAAATCTTGTGTGTGTTTGTGTGTGTGTGTGTGTGTGTGTGTGTGTGTGTGTGTGTGTGTGTGTGTGTGTGTGTGTGTGTGTGTGTGTGTGTGTGTGTGTGTGTGTGTGTGTGATACAAATAAGCTGTATACCAAATCTTTGAACTACTGTAGATTGTTATGTTTTTTATAATAAGATACCTTTTTTATTAATGAAATGTTGTCATGCTTTTTTTTTTTTAAAGACTTGATTCAAGTTATGATCAACCACTTAATAATCTTGGGAATATCTACAAGGTTTGTATTTAAATTGTTTTATTTTTTGTTTTACTAAAAAAATTTCTTGAGTCTATGGTATATTTTCTATATATAGTTTCTGTAGTATTTCTATGTGAGAACATACATTAAAACAATTCTTTATTTTTATTTCAAAATTAAGATCGTACGTCTTTTGCATTTGAGATTATAAAAATTAAGATGTTCATAGTCATTTTTGGTTCATAAATTAATGCAGTTTAACATACATTTTGCTTATTTGAAGTAACATATATATGCTAATAATATAAGTTTTATTATTTTTATCATAATAAATGCAAAGATCTTTTTAATGTAAAATAATGTATACATAGGAAAAGAATATGCTTCTAGAAGCTGAGCATTATTTGCAAATGGCTGTCAATGTCAGGTAGTTAATAATAAAAGTTTTTTTTTTTTTATAAATTTTTTTATTGCAACAAATTAATTTCTTTCAGCTCTTCATTCTCATTTTCAGCTCTTTATTTTTATTCTTCTTTTTTATTCTTGATTTTTAGTTCTTCATTTTCTACTGCTTGGATGAACCTTGGAGCTGTGAAAGCAGACCTTAAAAAAAAAGAGGTTGATTTAAAACTTGAAAGTTTTATTATATTATTTTTTAATTTGTTACTATTAAATTTACCATATCCTTAACAAATTAAAAAAAAAATGTTTAGCCTTCTCTGGTATTATAGCCCCTGTGTTTTAAGGTAGTGAACATAAATATTTTTATAAAATTTAATTACTTGACATTGTTTATATGTAATATTTTTAGGAATCAATAAATTGCTACAAAAAGGCTACAACATTAAAAAAAAACTATCCAGATGCATACTATAACTGGGGAAATTTGGTAAAAAAAAATTATTGAAATTGTTTAATATTTCTAAACGTTTTTATTGTTAATATTTTATCTACAGGTTGCTTGTGCTAGTATATTAGCCAGTTTATTTATCTACAGATTGGTTGTGCTAGTATATTTGTCAGTTAATTTATCTACAGGTTGGTTGTACTAGTATATTTGCCAGTTTATTTATCTACAGGTTGGTTATGCAAGTATATTAGCCAGTTTATTTATCTACTGGTTGGTTGTGCTAGTATATTAGCCAGTTTATTTATATATTTTTTACTTTTATTATACTGCAATGCATTCCATAGTTTTGCTGAGAAATTCAATATGAAATTATTTCTATAAGGTTGTTAATTCTATTATTTCCATTCTTCTTTTGTAGTTTTCTTTAAAAAGGGGCATTCATAAAGTACGTGCGCAGTAAAATCACTGATTTAAGACCCCCCTCCCCTCTTGTACGAAACTGTACGCTTTCAAAGACCTCCCCCCCTCCCCTTCCTTCCTCCTCCGCATACGTACGCATTATTTTTTTTTATTAAATTAACTTGATTTTTTTTTCTTTCATTATTTAGAAGCCAGAAAAAAAAAAACAATTCTGATTAGTTACACACGTGAAATTCATGTGTTTTTAAAAAAAAAAAAAAATCATGTTTAGGATAGTACGTACGTACGTACTCACTATCTTTAACACCCCCTTCCCCCTTGTATGTGTTTGTACACTTTTGATAACCCCCCTTCCCCATACCTGCGCATATACTTTATGGATGGCCCCAAATGGTGCGATTCTTGCCATTTAATGTTGAACTTTTCTTAAACATTTTTATTGTTTAATAACAGTAACTTCAAATTTAATTAAAAAATTAAATTGTTTTGTATAAAGTTTTTATTAGTTTTACATTGAATTGAAAGAAAGTTGCTCTTAACATCATTGAGTTTGCTTTTGGTTGACACAATAATTTGTGATTTCCATTTCAAATTTGTTGCAAAAATTACACCAGTCTTTTTCACTTTCCAATTTTTAAAATTTAGTGTCATTTAAAGATTTTTGCATCATATTTTTGTATTAAAACTGAAAAACCATTTTTTTTTTTACCATTTGGATGCATTATTTTGACCATTCGGACCACTATCTTAACCTTTCCAACATTTATATTCATAACCATTTCTGAAAGTATGATCTGTGTAAAATTCTGATTTGTTCTACATAATGTTTGGCATGTCATTGTTAAAAACTACAAATAATGTGACCAGATCTTTGAGGCACTCCACTAAATATCTATTTCAAAACGCTTTTAATTCATTCAAGTTTTAATTCTTCAATACACATATGTTCAAACTTAAGCGTCTTCTATGGGCTACAGAATGCTTACAGAACATCTAACAATGCTTCCTCTATGTGTATGTTTTATTAAAATTGTATGAAATAAAATCCAAAGTTTCAAATAAATTTGTAGTGCATTTTTTGTTACAAATCAATGTTATTCAATAGATATTTTTATTTGCAGAGTTAAATTTTAATAATTTAATGATTATTTGAAACTCTCTCTCAATAAACTGTTATACTTTGTTAATAAACTGTTTAACAAACTGTTATACTTTGTTAACAAACTGTTATACTTTGTTAATAAACTGTTATATTTTGTTATAAACTGTTATACTTTGTTAATAAACTGTTATATTTTGTTAATAAGCTGTTATATTTTGTTAATAAACTGTTATTCTTTGTTAATAAACTGTTATACTTTGTTAATAAACTATTATAACTTGTTAATAAACAATGTATAATAGTATCAAGAGGTGTTGTTGTATGTTGTGAAGTGGTGTTGTATCGTATATTTAAACTTTGGATTTTTTGATTTTGAGAGTTCTGTCACTAGTCTATAGTTTAATAAAATAACAAAATGTTCTTGACAATTTTCAACGAAGTTTCTGTTATTTGATGTTAAATTGTGTTAAAAGTTTGCGTTTTTCAGGAATAATGTAAGTTGTATTTTTAAATGACTGGTGACAATTTAAGATATTTAATTGTATGTTTTTAAATGATTGATTGCTATAAATTTAAATTGTTTTTTTAATTGATTAATCACAAATTAGGTTGTTTTATTAACTAATAAATCAATTACTTCAATTTGTTTGCAATGTTAATGTTTTTTCTTCTCAATAAATAAGTTTCTTTGCATTCTACTAAAAGCTTTTTATGCATACATATTTCATATATATTTATAGGTTATACGTAGTTTAAGTTTGCAGTGACCTTCACTTTGATCTCCAAACCAGGATCTATACTAAAATTTTTCACTTTTAATTTCCAAACCAGAATCTAAAATGCAAAGGGAAAGAATTATTATTCATTTACCAAATAATATAAAATATTACTTTTCAAAATAACTTGTTAGCTAGGCAATTGGTTTAATGCACAGGTTCATTGAAAAATTCTTGAAATAAACATAACTCAATCCTATTCCTAAAGCTCCACTATTGTTGGTGAACATCAGAGTAAACAAAAATGTATAGAATTTTTGAGATTTGTAGAAAATATTTGTATGAAGTCGTTAGTTTTTAGCAAATTTAAAATTGAATAGAAATATTTATATAATAACAAGAACATAATAATTAAATATTTAGCTTTAAAAATGTACAATAATATTTGGTTATTAATGCAAAACTAAATATTTCACGTTTTTTTAGCATTTAGGTTATAAAGAGTATGACCAAGCTTTGGATAAATTTAACATGGCAATAAAGCTTCAACCAACACATTTAAAAGCTTGGCAAAATAAAATTATTTTGCTGGGTGATTTAGGTAACTTTTTATTAAAATATAAAAAAGTTTTATATAAATATAAAAATATTTTTATTCAAAATAACGAGAGTGATGGTGATAGCTAAAGGCGAACACTGTTGATCTCAAAAACTAAAATTTATAATAACTTTGATAAAAGTATGTGTTTAGTAATAGCTGATTAAATAAAATTTTGAATCATGCTTTTATTTTTGTTTTTATTTCCCATATCAACTTGAGATTTAAAAAAGTGTAAGATTTACTTTTTTTTAGGTGCGAAGCATTAGGTGCGAAACATAAGGGTACAACTTGTAACTGAATAAGTATTAAATAGTTCTCAAATATGTTAATGCAGAGTTGGCAAAAACTTTTTTGCTAGGTTTTTGCTAAACTTTTGCTAAAGTTTACTGCAAATCTTTAGTAACAAAGTTTGATTAATTTTTAGTTATTTAAAAGCTACCTTCCATTTTTTACAATTATATTGTTTTATAAAAGTAAGTGATCAACCAAATAGAGTAACATGTATTTATTGCATAATTAACATGTAGTTATTGCATAATTAAAAAAATAGAGATAGTTAAGAAGAAATAAAAAAGAAAAATGAAAAATGGTTTCGCAGAAGTATATATATCAGTTTTAGAGTCAAGTCCATTTACATCTGTAGCATCAAATAGGTCTAACCATTCAGAAGTTGAAGACCAAAATCATTATTAATTAAATCTTTATTAGTGATTGTTCTTATTCTTTAATTTTTGTTTCAACTGTAATAAAGGTGCTACCCCATTTCTGAATTTGTTGCTACAACAAGAAGGATAAACTAGTATTGTAAGTTGCAATGTTTTCTTTTCTCGCATAAAAACCTGGATACAAATCACCAAATAGAAATGGATATCTTCAGAACTTTATTGAAGGTATATGAAGAAGTAATTAATTCAATAGAAAATGATCTTGCTGATGATTGTGCAACCTTATTTCAAGATGGCTGAAGTACGGTCAGTAACAAATGAAGTACGGTCAGTAATAAATGAAAGAGGATCAGTAATAATCCTATAATTGGAAAGCTGGATTGCTTGTACGAATTTATAGACGTTTTAGATGTGCAGTTGTGGATTACTAAGTTGTTTGATGACTTTGTTTTAAATTTTTAAGTTTGAATATCACTGCTCCAATTTAAAAAATTTCTCAATAATGAAATATATAACAATTGTTGAGCATCTTGAGTGTTAATGGAAATTATGAATAAAAAATGGATGGGAATTTTGGTACCAACCCTGTGTTACAGTGTTATAAGGTGCTAATGCTTTATTCATGTTTTTACATTGATTTATGGTATTTACACCTCATTTAAACCTTTGTCACATCGTCGTAATGTTGCTTCTCTTTCTCTTTTCTACAAATACTATAATGGGCACTGCTCTAAAGAGCTAGCGTCCCTTGTGCCATCTACTAAAATTCATTCTCGTGTTACTCGCCATTCAATTAAGTCTCATCCTTTTTCTGTGACTGTTCCTAAGTGCTTCAAAAACTCTTATTCTTTCAGTTTTTTTCCTCGAACATCAGTTCTTTGGAATTTGCTTCCTTCATCTTGCTTTCCTGATTCATATAATTTGCAATCTTTTAAGTCATCAGTCAATCGTTATCTTGCTCTACAGATTTAGTCTTTTCTCTTCCAGTAACTTCCAACTCTTATAGTGGTTGCTTGCAGCCTTGTTGGAAGTGATGATGTTAAAAAAAAAAAAAAAAAAAAATTTATGTGTCTCAGTATTTTATGGTATTAACGCTTTATTATTGTTTGTATAATTATTACAGTATTTTTTATTATGTTGTAACATAAATCTATAAAATAAAGATAATGGTTTCAGACTTCTATGTTGATAAGTTTTATCTTTTTATTTTTTGAGGTTTTTTTTATTTTTATCTTTTTATTTTTTGAGGTTTCTTTCTTATTGAAAATTTATAAATGCAATTTAAGTGCTTTTGCATAACAAGAATCGAAATTACTGCATAACAACTAGGGCTGTACCGAATTTCGGCTCCGGCTCCTGCTCCGGCCGAAATCCGGCCATTTTTACAAATCCGGCCCAAATCCGGCTCCGGCAAAATGTTAGCAAATCCGGCATAATTTTGGCCGGATTTCTGGATGTTTATTACATCTTTCTTACCCGTGATAACATGTATACATAATACTTAATTTTTGAACTTCATGTTTGTTTTGGTATCTGTATTTACATTTTTTTACAATTTAATTAGCTAAGCCTAATTTCAAACAAGAACGCAACAAAAAATTCTGAAGAGAAGACACACGATATTCTGCAATAATGCAGGTGTAAAGACTATGAAGTCAATCCTGATCAACTCATTAGATGAGCGTTTCAAAGGCATTGAGGAGAAACCTTTTTAGATTGAAAAAAATAAAGAAAATCCAGCAAAACAATCCCGGCTGGATAATTCTTATACATTATCATCATTACAATGGCAATATATATAGATGAAATTATTCAGTCTACGCCCGATTGTGGCACAGCACATGAACAACAATTACCAACAGGCATTGACACTCAGCTAAGCCAATATCTGGAGGAATCAGAAGTATATAGACACGCTGATTCACTACAGTGGCGGAGTGACAACATCCCGGGAAAAAAAGTTCTGTAGAATTTCTCTAAATTTTTGAAACATATGGCCTATAGAAACTCTATAAAATTTATATAAAATGTCTATTAATTTCTATAGAAATTGCTATAAAACTTTTAAACAACAAAAATGATGTTTAATAGAAAACAACCCGACGGGCATTTGTTTTTAAAAGTTACGTTCTGAATGTGTTTTAAATGTCTTTTAAACGTCTTTTAAACATTAATGTTTAAAAGACGTTTAAAAGACATATAAAATACATTTAGATCGTAACTTTTAAAAAGAAATGCCCGTCGGGAACTGTCACTTGGTGATCTAAATAGTCAACATTGTTGACCATTTTCAACACCAAGTAGGGATATACAGGATTTTGGTTCCTGTAGTTTTGCTTCAAAATCCGGCTCCGGCTCCGATTCCGGCCGGATCTGTTAGTAAAAATCCGGCAAATCCGGCTCCGGCCGGATTTGGAAAAATTAAATCCGGTACAGCCCTAATAACAACAAATGAAATCATTGCATAACAACAAATGAAATAATTGAATAACACCAATTGAAATAATTGCATTATAGCAAATGAAATAATTGCATAACAACAAATAAAATCGTTGCATAACAACAATTAAAATCACTGCATAACAACAATCAAAATTACTGCATAACAACAATCGAAATTACTGCATAACAACAAATGAAATCATTGCACAACAACAAATGAAATAATTGCATAACACCAATTGAAATAATTGCATTATAACAAATGAAATAATTGCATAACAACAAATAAAATCGTTGCATAACAACAATTAAAATCACTGCATAACAACAATCAAAATTACTGCATAACAACAATCGAAATTACTGCATAACAACAAATGAAATCATTGCATAACAACAAATGAAATCATTGCATAACACCAATTGAAATAATTGCATTATAACAAATGAAATAATTGCATAACAACAAATAAAATCGTTGCATAACAACAATTAAAATCACTGCATAACAACAATCGAAATTACTGCATAACAACAAATGAAATCACTGCATAACAACAATCAAAATTACTGCATAACAACAATCGAAATTACTGCATAACAACAAATGAAATCATTGCATAACAACAAATGAAATAATTGCATAACACCAATTGAAATAATTGCATTATAACAAATGAAATAATTGCATAACAACAAATGAAATCGTTGCATAACAACAATTAAAATCACTGCATAACAACAATTGAAATAATTGCATTATAACAAATGAAATAATTGCATAACAACAAATGAAATCGTTGCATAACAACAATTAAAATCACTGCATAGCAACAATCAAAATTACTGCATAACAACAATCGAAATTACTGCATAACAACAAATGAAATCATTGCATAACAACAAATGAAATAATTGCATAACACCAATTGAAATAATTGCATTATAACAAATGAAATAATTGCATAACAACAAATAAAATCGTTGCATAACAACAATTAAAATCACTGCATAACAACAATCAAAATTACTGCATAACAGCAATCGAAATTACTGCATAATTTATTGATTTTATGGTTTAACTCGAGCTTATAAATTTTTTTTCAAAATTTTTTATTTGTTGTTTTATTTATACAGTCGTGTGCAGTAAAATAGTAGTGCGCGTTTTATTTTTCTATCAACAAACTTTGAACATCAAAATATATTTTTCTATTGTTTGCTTTTTATCGTTATTGTTCATAAACTAAATGTTGTGATTATAATAGTATAAAAAAAATTTAAGAAAGATAATTGCAGCACTGTATGGTTTTAAATTTCAATATTATCGATTGAAGAACATTCGTATTTTTTAGACAGTGCAATAAAATAGTAGTGAAAAATAAACTTTTGTGTAATATTTGCAGTACTTATTAAATTCTAATTATTATTAGTTCTTAATAATAAGCAATAAGTAAGTAATTAATTTTGATATTAGATAAATTCATACACTTACTAAAATTTTGAAAATTTAGAGAAACATAGGGCGCTCTAAGTATTATACTGAAGAAGTTCGTAATTTAATTATAAATCTTAAAAATCATGGTAAAGCCTACAAACAAATATAAGAACTGGTTGGATGCTTACCAACAATGATTTGTAATGCTTTAAAATGGATACCCAAACCAGAGAAACGTGGAAAATAAAAGATCAACTACCGCTATAGAAGATCGTCGAATTGTATCGTTAGCGAAAAAGAAGTCATTTATTACTTCTAGAAAAATTAAAAAAAGGCTAGAATTAAATGTTAATACCTCAACTATTCGAAGAAGATTAACAGATGCCGATTTAAATGCTAGAACATTTTGAAAAGTGCCACTTTTGAGTAAAAGACATCGAAAATCGTTTAAAATTTGTACGTATGCATGCTTCTTGGCCTAAAGAAAAAATGGCGAAATGTTTTGTGGATTGATAAAAGCAAAATTGAAATTTTTGGTTCCTATGTTCGTAAACAGTATGTTAGAAGACCAACGGGTGCAGCATATAAGCCACAATTTACATTAAAGACCGTCAAACATGGAGGTTCAAAAATAATGATATGGGGTTGTTTTTCTTACTATGGTCTTGGGCCGATACATCGCATAGAAGGTATCATGGATCGGTTTGTATATGTAAAAATACTTGAGGAGATCGTGCTGCCTTATCCTGAAGAAGAAATACCGTTAAAACATACGAGCAAAGTTACGAAATCGTGGTTTAATGAGAACAAAATCGATGTGATGGAGTGGCCAGCACAAACTCCCGACTTCAATCCGATTGAAAACTTGTGAATTTATGTTAAACAAGCAGTTTCTGAAAATAATTCAAGAGGTTGTAATCAATTGTGGGACGTAGTACAGTCAGCATGACAAAATATATCTGTCGAACGATGTCAGAATCTTATTGATTCCATGCAACGAAGATGCTTGGCGGTTATTACTAATGTAGAGCTTCAAAAAAAAAATTTTTTTTGTAATAAAATTCAATTATTTTTTGACCTTTTCATAAAAAATGATTCTCACTACTATTTTATTACACAGCCTAAAAAAAAAATACGAATGACCTTCAATCGATAATATTGAAATTTAAAACCATACAGTGTTGCAATTATCTTTCTTAAATTTTTTTTATACTATTATAATCACAACATTTAGTTTATAAACAATAACAATAAAAAACAAACAATAGAAAAATATATTTTGATGTTCAAAGTTTGTTGATAGAAAAATAAAATATGCACTACTATTTTACTGCACACGACTGTACATTGAGGAGGATTTTTCGTTTTCTGACTACTAACAAAGTTTTAGGAGTTATCAAGTTGGCTGTTTTGATTATTCATTTTGAGTTCTATTTATTTTGGGAAACGTTTTGGTTAGCCTATACTTTTAAGGGTAAATTTTTGAGCTTTCAATTCAGTGTTTTCAAGACTATTTGGTATAATGATGGTATATTTTTCTCTGTTTTATTTGACATTTTATATGGATTTCCTTTTTTTCCTTGGCACTATTTTTATTAAATTATAAATTAAATACACTTGTACTTGTGATAAAATCTTTAAGCTAAGATGTTTAGTTTGTTTTATATATTATCTAATTAAATTAAAATATTTGGTTCTAATATTATTAATTAGTACTTAACAAACAACTTAAAACTAAAAATATACTAAAATAACTAAAATAACTAATAATTTTTTATATAATACATTAAATACTTGCACGTTTTTTGTGGTTCGAACTTCTGTTATTCGAACTTCTTTAATCAAATAAAATATTTTGACTTTCAAATACTTTGGTTGTTATGCTCGATAATGAAAAAATGTGATGGCTTTTAATGCTTCCTAGTTTTTTGTTATTAATTTATTGTCATGTGTCTTTTATATTTAGGAAATGTTGTTGAGCTGAAACAATCTGGCAAAAAGATATTAGAATTGTTTCCACTTGATGATGAGATGCTTTACATTGTTGGGAATGCTCTGGGTAAAGCCGAAGATTTAAAGGTTAAATTATAAAGGTTGAAAGACAGCTGTTTTCGGAAAAAATATATATAAAAAATAAAAAAAATTAGTTCAGATTTTTTTCGTTGTTTTGTTTTATTTAATGCAGACAATTTATCTTTTTAGACAAGTGAACATTATTTAGAGAAAGCTTTAGCATTAAATCCAACGCATGCTAATGCTATTGGAAACTTGGGTAATGTTCAATTTAATTTTGACTCAAAAAATTGAAGAAAAAAAAATTTAAGTTTTCAATTTTTTACTATTATATTTTATTTAAAATAGAATAGAAATAGAAGTGATTTTCTACTTTTTTTCTAGGAGTAATTTATCATCGTTTGAAAAACTATCCGAAAGCTTATGAATTATATGTAAAGTCATTGCAATTAAACCCAAACAGCGAGTCCACTGCAGCTAATTTAAAGAAACTGCTAAATGTTTATAAGAAATCATAAACAAAATTAATTTTGTGGTCGTTTGCGGTTTATTGATGTAATATAGTTTATATATTTATGTCTGATTGCTTTTGCTTGCAATGCTTTTCAGGTTATTAGTATGCACTTTTTTTAGGCTATGTTTTGATGTAAAGTTTTTAAAAATAGTTTTTTGTTGAACCGGAATTTATTATATCAATTTTTTTTCTAATATTTTTTATATGGAATGAATTTTTTATTGAAGTTTTTTATTTATTTTTTCTTAATAGTAGACTCTAGTCAACTCAACGTATTTTTTGCAACGCAAAAAAAAATCGAAGTTTTTATTATTTTTATCAGTTTTTATCATTTTTAACTGTTTTTATCATTTAGTTTTATTGCATAAATATTTAGAAAGAACATCACCATTGCGTCTGATTTTAAAAATTGTTTTCGTCGTCTAATTTTTTTACTTTTCCGCGGTTTTTTAGGTTTTAAGCATTTTTTATTTATAAAATATTTTTATATTTTGCTACAAAACATTAGTTTTTATTGGTGTTTATAAATTTAAAATTATTTTTTGATTATGCTATACTATTTATATTTTTTTTTACACGTTTTTGAGTAAAATAATAAAAAATGATTTCTGATTTTGGTGTGAATAAATTACTTTATATATTCAAGGACGTAAATCGGTTGTAAAATATATGCCTTTCTCTGCAGAGTTGGTTTAAGATCTCTCTTCCTAACAGGGTGAAAGCAAGTTTGATTGAAAATTGTCTGGAAACGCATGATGTTTTTGGTGTCAATCTTTATCAAGAAATAGTTTTAAAATTAAGAAAGAATAAAATATTTATATTATATTATGATTCTTTGAGGATTTTACTATATATTTTTCTATTTCTATTTCTAGGTCTATTTTACTATACATTTTTACTATTTTACTGGAACCACCAGTAGACTTAAATTTTCATTTTCATTTGCGTTGATATTGGCTTAAATCTGTATGATAACTTGTTGCTACGGGTAATGTGATTTTACTATCACTTGGGCCGTAACTACGAATTCGGATAATGGATCTTTGTTGTAATTTGACTTCATTTGGGCTGTTACTGGACTAATTATTTTGGTTTAGAGTTTTACTGTTCAATTTTTCAGTGAATTCGTTTTGAATCGTTTCTAAATTCATAGCTATTGTGTAATTTTGTACATTTATAAGATACAAAAATATGTAATATATATATATTTATTTTTTTCCTAATAAGAATAAGAAATAAGTAAACAATCAAACAAATATACAGTAATTTACTTTTATAAATCAAACTGCCAAAAACAAATTATTTTTTTCTTCAAATACACTGCTATTCAATTTATTCGCGCTTTCAATTTATTTGCTATGGCGTGATATGTAGGTTAGAATATGCACCATTGATCCTAAAATTCAGGGTGCTTTAAGTTTCTTAACAGTTTCTAAAACAATAACTGAAAAACTAATATTAATGTAAAAACAACTATTCTTGATTAAAGTTTAGAAGAACCATAAAATAGATAAATCTAGGTTGATTTTATAATTTTTCTGTTTGTTCTTCTGTTTGTTTATTTTTCACTATATTTTAGGATCAAGCTCTCCTCTACTTAAAAAGTTTTGACTCTTTTTATTTAAATTAGTTTTTTTTTAGCAATAGAATTATATTTGCTCGAACATAAACGACATTTTAAATTTATTTGATCTCAACAAGGCTTTTGACACTGTAAATCATCATATTTTATTAGCTAAATAAAATTCCATTAAAACTTCCAAATCTTTGTATTAACAATTGCGAAATAAAAAGAGAGGTATCATTAAAATTTCTAGGAGTACTCCACGACGAAAATGTAACATGGAGAAATCATATAAAGTATATTGAAGGTAAAATATCAAGTAGCATTGGCCTACTCTATAGGGCAAAACCTTTTTTTGAATTCAAGTTGTTTAAAACTCTTATATTTTTATATCTACAAAATAAATATTTATCATCTTTTAATTTTTATGTTCAAAATTAATAAAAGTATTATTCCGAAAACTTTTGATCTCTTATTCAAAACTAATCAGAATAAATACTTAACTAGACATTCAAGTAACACTTACATACAACCCATAAGTTGTTACGCGCAACTGAGTTTTCAATTTCAATTAGAGGACCAAAGGCATGGAATAAAATACTAACATCTGAATTTAAAACTCTTACATTGTCAAAAGAGTTTAAGGCCAAACTTAGACAGTTATTACTAAAAAATAATCTACCACAAAACTATTTCAAAATAAGCAAAATATCCTTATGATTGATCTATCAATTAAATGAGGAGTATATTAATATTAGAAACGTTTGAGTTGAATGCACTTTTGACTTTTCAAATTTATGTTTTTGTTGTTTTAATATGCGTTGTTGTTCTTTTTATTTTTTGCTCCTTAATTTTTGCTCCGTTTGTTTATTTTATATTGTCAACGGAAATGCTTACTGTAAGATCCTCTTTAAGCCCAAAATCCCCCTTTAAGCAATCAGATGGTGTTGGCTTCATATTAAAACAAGAATAAATGGTAGTATCATTAGCGAACAATGCCACCATAGATGTGACTTGAAAGAGGTAATAAGATCTTGCAGCCGTGGCACAATGGTTGGAACGCTTGCTTTATAAGCAGGAGATCCAGGTTCTAAACGAGCTCTGGATATATTTTTGCTTCACAGTAAAGAAGGAGGCGTGAACTTTCTGGTTAAATGCACTTCCGTGGTGCTCAGTTACAAGACCGTTAGGTCTTCTTGGGGCACCTAAATAACATAAAAGAAAAAAGAAAAAAAAAGAATTTAAGAATTTCTGGGAGATTGTTAATGTAAATTAAAAAAAGTATAGGATCAAAGATTGTAAATACAAAGAAGAGTGCTGTCCATTGAGGACAACTTGAATCTAATAACTTTCTGATTATCAATTCATATTGATAATCAGAAAGTTATTAGATTCAAGATGTGAGATTGTTTAGCAATCATAAACTCAAAATCGTGCTTATGATGAAGAAGACTAATGGGACGGTAGTTAGACGAGTCAGATCTGTTACTTCTATTTTCAAAGAGTTTTTGAAAAATAGGAATAACAGATGCCGCATTTCAGTGGGCAAAAACAGAAAAAAAACTGGAAAACAAGTGATTATATGTCTATATACCTTTTTATCGCTTAAATAATTTCCCATTCTCAAATAATTCCCGTAGTTTAATCCTCTTAAAAGTTTTCTTTTGTTTAAAAATTAAAGGTATTAAAATAAAAGCTGAGTAATGAAATTTTTTAAAATTAATGAACAACCCAGAGAAACCGAAACCGAATCCGTATATGTGCGATACTCAAGTTCGTTAAAGCTGTTATACTTGTTTATACAATTATGGAAGTTCTTTTCGCATTTTAAATGGAAGTTTTGAATTTTGTTGAAAATAGTGAAACGCGAATATGTAACTTTTTTCAACCTGTTGGAAATTTTGTTATAACAAGTGCATTGCGAATCTATAACTTTTTAAAACCTGGAAAGTTTGTAATTATATTAGAAATTTGTTTACTGAACAAATTTCTAATATAATTACAAACTTTCCAGAAATAGATCTCGGTAATATATATATATATATATATATATATATATATATATATATATATATATATATATATATATATATATATATATATATATATATATATATATATATATATATATATATATATATATATATTACCGAGATCTATTTCTGGCAAATCGCTAAAATATTCCGCTTCACCAAAATACATTCGTTCATCTTCCGGATGGAGTTGACAAGTTACCACTACTTGTAGAGCGTATATTTGGGGTGGTTTGTACCCAGTGGGCACAAGACGCGTTTTAAACGTCTAAATCACGTATTAAAACGTTTTAATACATATTCTAGACGTTTAAAACACGTCTTGTGCCCTTTGGGTACGTGTTTTCAGGAATATAAGGTTTAACTATCTAAAAAAATATTATAATTAAAAAATCAATTTATATATTAAAAAAAATTATAAAGTTTAATAAAGTTTTACTTACACTACCGGTTTTTGAAAAAGGTTTCTTTTAACTTGATTTAAAATTTGATTAGAAATTTTTTTTGTTACTTTTAGCATTTTTTTTTTAATACAAATTAATTAAAAAAATTTTTTTTTTCAATACATTTTATTTACGCTTCATTAAGTTTAACAAAATAAAATTTTTAAGAGAATTAAACTACGGGAGTTATTTGAGGATGGGAAATTATTTAAGCGATAAAAAGGGATATGGACATATCATTAAACAAGAGTCTGATAAACACTAGTTAAATAATTTTGAAAGTTTAGAAGACAGCTCCCGAGAATACTTTTGAAATACTTGTTGTGGCGACACAACCTGAACCATATAAGAGAGGTGGAATAACAGATTTGCCTTTTGTTGTAGGTAATCTTACAGGTTCTCCGGAAGTCACGAGAGCCTAATTTTTGAGATGAAATACGAGATTCCGTGACCTGAGAATAGGGGGCTTTGGTGTTAGACAAAACCTTTTTACAATCGTTTCTAGCAATAGTAAACAAAAGTTTATTTGCTGGGAAACTGTTTTGCTAATAGATATGAAAGTAATGGTTACCATTGAAAATTGCAGGACCGCAAAGAAAGGAAAACTATGAAGAAGAGCGAGGCAAAAGGTAACAAAAGATTCCAGCCAGCCTGAATCCAAGAAGTTACATAAGAAGCACATTTATCAGCAAGAAGACGAAAGATTTGTACCCAAGGGGCTATTTATAGTTGTTGTAAGAGATACGATGATAGGGTTGTGAGATAATAGTTTTAGAGAGGTCAAACCGTTATCAGAAGAACCTAAGGGTAAATGTGGAGAAACTGAACACTGACTAGGATCAGAAACAAGACATAATTCGAGTGAAGAAGGTGGTCTAGAAAGTTGACTATTTGTGTTAGAGATTGAGGCGTCCACAAAAATTGTGGGCTTTAACGTCTGCAAAGTCACTGACACTAGAGCCATTCCAGCGGGCATTTGTTTTTAAAAGTTACGTTCTAAATGTACTTTAAATGTATTTTAAACGTCTTTTAAACATTCTTACGTAAAAAACGTTTAAAAGACGTTTAAAAAACGTTTAAAAGACATTTAGAACGTAACTTTCAAAAACAAATGCCCGAAGGAAAGCCATTTAGACGTGATGAAGTCAGCAACAACAACAATATTAGCTGATGGATAAGAGAAAGAGAGCTTGGTCAATTTAATCAAAAACAACATTAAAAAGAGTGCAGTCTTGAGATAAAGGAGAGCGATATAGAACAAAGCAAAAGGAAATAATTTATAATTTTTTAGTTTTAATTTAAAATAAGCAATTAAATACATTTGCATACCACTGTGTTTGTAGAGTTAGTTTATTTTTTATTGATAACATTGAGTTAAATGAATTATTACCTAAGAGAACTGAGGGTGTCATTTTGATTTCCGCCATACATTATTACAAATGCTTCTATCGACGCCTTGCCAATATTTTTTTCTAATCCAAACGTCCATAGTATTTTTTTTCCTTTGCTAAAGGTAGCGGATGTTGTATCACATCCACTCATAGCATGGACAAAAAGAATGTCGTCTTTTATATTGCTCACAGTTGGACTTAATGCCTTCATGCTTCATCCTTTATGCAGGCGATGTTCGTAGAAAATAATATCACTTATTTCTTTTTGCCAATGGTGAACAATTATAAGAAAAATATCTGTTTCATTAGTAACCACAATAATTTGTTTTTCAGAGTTTAATGAGGCAAATTCTCATGCTGTATGACAAATGGTTGTATCAGCATCGCCAGGGTAATTGATCACAGTGTTCCCGACATTTTTTGAACAGTGCAAAAGTAGCTTGATAAATTGGCTTTTATTTGTTTATCCTGATATCGAAATTAAAGAAAACCTGAACAAGGTTTTCTTTAATTTCGATATCAGGACATTGTTTATTAACATATCTTAGTTGATTGAATTTCATATCTATCAAACACTATATGTATTGATCCGAATTGTTTACGAATGTATTTCAAATAATTGTTAACAATCTCTTTAAAGGTGGAGCCTTTCAGCCAAACAACGTAAATAGAAGTGCGCCACCGTCAACCAAGTATATGCTGTTCTCATCTATTATATTAATATTATACTAGCAGTAAGCAACCCGTAATACGCGTTGTTAGTAAATAAATTAAAAAAAAAACCCGCGTATAGAAAAGCCTAGAAACTACTTTAAAATAGAAAAGCCTTGAAAACGACGTAACTCGACTAATTTTAAATTAGCGTATTCATATTATCAGATTAATATACATCTATTTATTATTTTAATGACTACTGCATCTTTCAGCATAGTTTTTTTCTATTAAGGTTTTTCTGGCTTTTTCATCATCATTTCTTTAAACAGTGACATTGACTCTGATGTTAATTCAAATCTTAAAAGTTTCTCCTCGTCGTTGTCTCTTTTAGCAACTGCTGCGAGTCTTATGAACAAAGTTAGCGAATTCACATAAACCTTCTTTTGGCTAATTTTGATTGTATTTGTTATATAACTCAATGGTTTAATTTGATATTTACTCTTGATTTTGATTGCAGTGAACGTAAGGTTATTCATTATTTCCTGTGCTTTCAATCCAACTTCTTCTGTATGCTCGCACTTTACCGTATCTTTACCTAGTATTGAAATAAAACCAGATGACAATGAGTGTATGTTTTTATCATTGAAAGAAAAAGGATTTTTATTTGAAAGCCAGTCATAGAACTTTTTTAAACACTCGCATCTTGTTTCATTCGTGATTGATTGAGATCTACATGTTGCTCACCAGTTATTATTGTCGAGTTTGAAAAGAAATTCATTGTATCGTTAATCGCAGAAATATGATGTGCACTTAATACATATAAGTGCCTTGTGCTCTTTTTTATACCACGTCCTCTTGTTAAGCTTCCTCGGCTCATGATAGATCGCATAAGTGTCTGCTCTATAATCGATCCAACCACAGACCGTCCCAATAACGTTCACTTTGACGTGCAGTTTGTTATTAAAACAATCTTCAAACCACGGATGCAAACTACCTAGGGATATCATCTATTAAGCATACAATCTTGCTGACTTTGCATAGTTTATACGACCACTCAAACAGCTTTTAAAGTCTTCTCGCTTTTGAACTTTTTTCTTTTTTTTCTATAAAATCTAACTTTAAGCAGCGGTTGTTTGCAGTCTTGAATGAAATGAATGAAAATGAGGTAAATGGTCAAAAATAAAAAAAAAAATAATAAAAAATCGCTAATCAGCTATATCTGGTAAATCGTTTTGAATTCGTTGTTAAAAAAAGTCAAAAACAGTTCTTATACTAATAATTGAAATGATAGCCTCAGTTAGCCTGAAATGATAGTCTTAGTTAGCCTAAAAAGATAGTCTCAGTTAACTTGAAATGATATTTCAGATTTCTTTTAATCTCAGTTAGGTCCAAGCTTATAAAAACGTTTTAGCTGCTGTAAGAATTTCTATTAAAAAAAGCATGGGATAATTTGTCTTGTTTTAGAGAATATTATTTTTATACGCTTAACAAACTTGGTTGTGTGTCAGATGCGATCAGACTACGCCAGATATTAAAAACTGTTTCCGTATCGCCGACTTGCTGAAGATAATATTGTTAAAGCCGTTGCTAAGGATACTAAAATACCATAGTGGTTTTAAAATATTCTAACAATTTATTATATTTTATCCAAGATAAATATTTATTTTTGATTATAGCAAATTTGAGATCTATATACAATATATACAATCATTACATTATATACATACATACATACACACACACACACACACACATATATATATATATATATATATATATATATATATATATATATATATATATATATTAATTATTCATATGAAATGGATGGGCTTTGCTTGTTTCCAGTGTTTTTTAAATCGTTTGAAATCACGTTGCGTTTCGCCAACTGATTAAAATGCTATAAGAAAACATATATTTTAATGTGATTCTTAACATATGAAAAATACCAAATATCTTAACATGTGAAAAATACCAAAATATCGCACCTGTGAGTTTTTAAACTCGGAATACAAAGTAAACAGCAGATGTAAAGACTGTATTCGACTCGCATAAACAGGAATATCGACAATAGCTAAATAATAAAGTTATTAAAAAAAAACCATCATAAGTACATTTAAAGAAGAAAAAAAAAGTAATATTTATATATATATATATATATATATATATATATATATATATATATATATATATATATATCAAATATATATATATCAAATATATATATATATATATATATATATATATATATATATATATATATATATATATATATATATATATATATATATATATATATATATATATATATATTACTTTTTTTTTCTTCTTTAAATGTACTTTTGATGGTTTATATATATATATATATATATACATATATATATATATATATATATATATATATATATATATATATATATATATATATATATATATATATATATATATATATATATATATATATAAACCATCAAAAGTACATTTAAAGAAGAAAAAAAAAGTAATAAATATATATATATATATATTAAATATGTATATATATTAAATATATATATATATTAAATATATATATATATATATATATATATATATATATATATATATATATATATATATATATATATATATATATATATATATTAAAACAATCTTACCACATATAATATCAATATACTCTGCAAGTTCACATTCAATATCAGCTGATGGTAGTTTTAAATTATTAAGAAGCTCTTCAAATTCTGGAGGCCATTCTTGCATCAGCTTTTCAATATCTGGCATAGGTTTTGTATAATGCACATTTTGAGGCGGCTTTTCACGATGCAACTTGACAATGTTTGTTATCCAGCTATCGATTGCCTTTGGATTTTTATCAGGGTCTTCAATGCTACGAACAATCTAAAATCGAACAATCACTGTATAATAAATACTTACATACTATTCTTTTTTTACATATTTTTATATTTTATCGCCATGTTAATTTTTTTTTGAAACAAAAAAAGTCTTTTATGTGTAAACTCATAGAATTTAAAAAAATTGTTCAATTACCGTTTCACACTTGACTGTACCGTTACTGTTTGTTTTGCACTTGAATGTACCGTTATCGTTTGTTTAGCACCTGTATGTTTAATAAGTAGTTTTGCATTTGTCTGTTCATTTAGTAAAAAAACTTACAGTTTGTTTTGCACTTGTCTGTTTAGAAATAGAACGAAGTTGAAGATCAAGAACTATGATAAAAATAAATCAAATTATATATATATATATATATATATATATATATAATTTGATTATATATATATATATATATATATATATATATATATATATATATATATATATATATATATATATATATATATATATATATATATATATATATATATATAAGGTTCAGCTCGGTAAAATTGTAAAGGATAACTTAATGTATCAAGGTGCCCACTCAAACTTTTAAAAAATTTCAGCACTTATTACATCATTTAGATATGTTTTTCCAGGATTTTGGTACTGAATTTCTTTTTTTAGCATAAGTATTAAAAAAACTTAAATTCCAACAATAATGCTATTTTCAAAGTGATACAGTGATACAAAGTGATACATAATTATCTTAAAGACAACCACTGTACTTATAAAACAAAACCAAGAACGTAAATAACACATTTTTTAAAATTTAACTCATTTCAGAATTACTAACAAATTAACCTTAATGAAACTCTAAAGAATCAGTCATAACAATGACTCAGGCACAAATTTAAGCAATTAACGTAAAAAATGTTAAATATATATATATATATATATATATATATATATATATATATATATATATATATATATATATATTCATGGCAGCTAACAAATAATTATTTAAAATTAAGAACAACTTGTAGGCCAAATTTCTAGTTATTATATCAAAAAAACTTTTATGGAAGGCACAATCCATTTAAAGCATTTTTTTTATCTTAGTTAAGATTATTAAATTGCAAAGTTTCTCAATAAATCACAAAATTGGGAAACTTTAAAAAAGAAAAAAAGATAGTAATAACAACAACAACTGAAACAAAATGACTTAACCATTAACTAACTTAAAATTTTTTTCTTCTTATTTTCAAGTTCATCAATTTATTCTTCCCTTTCTTTTTAATCCATTCTCTTTCTTAATGTAACTTTTTAATCCTTTTCCTTTCTTTTAAATTGATTCCTTTTCTTAATGTAACTCAGGTCACTTTTTTTCTCTGTAAATTCCATATACTCTGTAATCTTGTTTTTCATTATTATAATAGCTTTTTTTGGCAACTTTAAAACTTTATGATTTAATTTTTCGATGTCAGCTGTGATTTCACTTTTGTTCTTGCTTGTTTTCCTCCTCCTCTTTCTTAGCATTATCCGACTCAATTATATATTTCTGATGGGCTGATCGAAAAGCTTTGACCAATGGTGCTGTGATTTGGTTTAAATTGTGCGGTTTTAAATCATTGGCAATTGGATGGTCCTTTGCGATTCTCTGGGATTTTATCACCACACCAAGTCACATTGCTGTGGTGATAAAATCCTTGAACTCATGAAGTACCTAAATAAAGTTTTCAAACGATCAACCAATTTTGGTTTAGTCAACTCTATCAAAATAGTCAAATATATTGGATGCTCTTATCAATGAATAATTTAATGGAGATTAAATTATTCATTTAATCTCCATTAAATTGTCACAAAAGCTTTTCACCAAAAAACAACAAACTTGATAACTAAAATGTTATCAAATTATTATTTTTCAGATGATGTAGTTTTTCAAAAACAGAAAATCCTGTGTTAAGCTTTTCATCAGGTTACAGATCATTAATCCATGAAAGATCCAGATCTTTCAACATTTTCTAACTTCTTCATTTTTCAAGGACATCTGGTTTTGCAATAACTTCAAGCAATTTTATTATTTCCTTTACATCAAAGTATAATTCAGTACAAGTATAAGAATGAAACCATTGAACAGTCTGTCTGGTACTTGTTCAGAAAAGGTTCAACTATATTTGCAATATAAGCAAGGAAATGTAACTTGGAAAGCATTAAGTGATCTCTTGAAGTGCCTTATTTAAAATCTCATAGTGTTTACATTTTAGTTGTTTGGATTTAATTAAAGAATTCCAGAAAGAAATAAATTTTTTAACTTTCCCACACTTCAATCAACTTGTTAACCACCTTTTTGTTTTTTACCCATTTAAAATATAAATCAAATACCATTTAGAAACATTTTAAATCATATCTAGTCATATTGGTTCTCATGTCAATACTTTTGTATCAATCAGCGAGTCAGATGTTGTCTGTCATACTATAATTGAATGTCGTCTGTCTTACTATAATTGCTAGTAATTAAATGTCATGTAAAAACTTGATTTTTATATATGAAAATATAAATATATTTTGAATTTATCAATTCAAAATATATTTATATTTTCATATAGCAAGTTACATTTATATAGGGAAAACTTTTTAAATTGGTTTCCTCTTAGGAGAGCACAAGAAATTTCAGCTAGATTGCAAAAAAAGATCTTCAATATTTTAATGCTTGCTTTTTTTATATAAATTCACCTCCCCAAGGCCAAGAAAGCCACTACAGAAGAGGAGGATACTTAATTGTAGTTAAACCTTCTCTCAACTCAAACAGCGGCCAAACAAGACTGTTGCACAGAGAAACAAGTTGAGCGTGGTACTACCAGGAATGTGGTGGGGATTGAACTCAAAACCTCTGTCTTGTGAAGTGAGTACTCTACCACCACTACTGCGCCAATGTTAAGGGCATCAAACTGTAGACACTATTTGCTATTCCATTATAAGACTTGTCAGTTAAACTATTTACAAGTTTTACTTTTATAATTTTTTCTATGTAAGCTGTTCTTTTATAATTTTCTTTTCTTTGCTAATTAAATAAACGAATTTCAGGTGTTAACATTTCTTTCCTCAAACTATTTGATGTCGAATCTGCTATCATTGTATAAAATTTACAATCAAAAAATTTCTTTAACAGTTTTACTTTAAAATTAAGTTAACTTTGAAGAATATGTGGTTGAAATCTATACTTACACAAAGAGTACTACACACAAAGAGTAGTGGCTAAACTCTATACCTCTCACTAAAGAGAGCTACACTACTATTAAAACAACTATTACTATAAATTAAAAATAAATTTATAATATATATTATATTATATATTAGATTTAATTTCATTTATTTACACTACAAAATTCAAAGTTAATACAAAATGATAGAAAAAACCTGTATGAAAAATTTAAAACTTTATTTAAATATATTGAAAATGATAAAAGCAAAGCACTGTTACAATTTATAATTTTTAGTTGATGTTTCAGATAGGAAACTTTTACATATGTGCAAACTCCAAACTTAAATATGTTTATACCTATGCCAAATGAGCAGGCCTTTTAAAAATTTGGGATGGCGGAGGCCTAAGAACAAAAAAGCCATAAAACGCTTACCTCCCCTGCCCAAATGTGAGGCCACTGATGTAGTAAAATTTTTAATTTTATTCTATTAAACTAAATTTAAATTTATCAACAGATTTTAAATTTCGTTGAAAAATATTGTGAATTACAAAAGATATGACTATGCAAATTTTTCAACCCCCCCCCCCCCAAATAAAAAAAATTAGGGGGTGTAAATTTTGCATGGTCATAACTTTTGAAATATACAATATTTTTCAACGAAATTTAAAACCTGTTGATAAATTTAAAATTAGTTTAAAATAGTAAGGTTTAAAACTTTACTACATCAGTGCCCTCACATTTTGACAGGGGAGGGGGCAAGCATTTTAGGACTTTTTTTGTTCCCAGGCCTCCACCATACCAAATTTTTGCAAGACCTCCTCATTTGGCATAGGTATGGACATACTTAAGTTTAGAGTTTGCACAATATGTAAAAGTGTCCTATTTAAAACATTAAATACTGTGGGTGCCTATGCTCTTGCCACATGGTGACAATGTTCACAATACATATACTCATAACACATAAAGACATGCTCAGAACACATTGTAAAACGTTCAGAACATATTGTGACATGGTCAGAACACATTGTGACACGTTCAGGACACATTGAGACATGCTAAGAACATATTCTTTTGTGATTTAGTAAAAACAGTATTGATAAACAATAAGCCAATAAATTACAAAATAAACATGTATTGACTAGAAAAAAATTTACCAGTAGGATCAGACTGCTCTGCTGCCGGTTCATCAAGTATTCGTATCCCTAATGTTTCTGGTTTACCATCAGGTCTTGTGACCTAAATAAATTCAATGTTAAACAATTTGTTTTTACGCTAAAAATATTTTTTTTACTATACTTGTATTGTGTTCTAGCCATGACACTAAACTAATCCTTTATTGAGAAAGGTTAAGTTCTTTAGATGTGATCAAAATATCTTACCTTGGAAACGGAAAACTCTGTCCATAATTTAATTGCAGGTAAGGGAAGCTCAAAGTATTTGGATGGTAACCTTCCTAGTAGTTGCACCGCAACAAAAATACTTGGCTCTGATTTGCAAAACAGGTTAATGCCATGAATGGCATCATTTTGTTGTAAAAAATTATTTTAACTTTTTCATAATGTCAAACTTGAATCATGATGTCATGCTTAAATTATAATGTCATACTTATATAAGAAAATTCTATAATAAAAATCTGTCTTTATGGCAAAAATGTAAGAATTTAAGAATTGCAAATTTTGCAAAAATGCAAAAATTTAAGAATTTAAAAATTTCAAGAAGGTTCTGCTGCATCTTGCATTTGCACTGTTTAGCTGGCTCAACCATATTACCACTCAAGTTGAGAAGTGGTACTATACTCTACTTAAACTACACAAATAAAGGGCAATGACTAGAGCAGATAATGCACCGTCAAATATGCTGACAATACTGTTATTAACTAATCCAATAAAAACTTTTACATAATTCAGAAATATCTTCTAGAAGTGCTTAAAAATGTCTTATACTATTTTGAATATAGTGAATTTACAATAAACTATGAACTAGCAAACAGTTTTGACACAAAACAGTTTTCTCAGTCACTTGATCTTAGTTATAAAGAAAGAAAATCAAAACAACAACAACATTACCTTGGTTATCTCAAGTGTCTATAAATTAAAGATCTTGCCACTTTTAACTTGCAATGGTCATTTCAAACTTACTTTTACAGAAACACAACAAGGTTCAAATTAATTGAATGAAAGCCAACATTTTCATCTAATCCCAAGAATATGTACATAATTTACCATCAATTGATAAGCTTATAGTAAGGAACGCTTGCTTAATAGTACAAAATTGTTTGCTTAAACTGTCTTGTGTGAGATTAGAACTTGAAAAAAAAAAAAATTTTATTATATGGTGGTAAAATTCCATAATGTTTTACCCTGTAAAATAAGAACTATTGAAAACTTTTATCAAATTCAAAATCTTCATTGATAAACATTTTAAAAATTGATTTTACTATCTCAGATTTAGCTGTATTTATAAGTTTTGTTATTTGTTTTTACCTATTAATAATAATATTTTTAATATTATGTGAAACTCTCAGAACACACATTTTAAAATTGAAGTGTAACATATCCTGGTGAAATATTTATTTAACAAAACAAAATATAAAACTTTAAAAAAATATAAAACTTTAAAATATAAGACTTTAAAAAAACATTACTTTTTAGTCAATCCAGTAATATCACTTTTAAAATATATAAATGTAATATATAAAATATACTTTTAAAAATGCATCAATATCTCCAACGGCAGGAATATATTCTGGAATGAATGGTCGCAGTTTATAATCTAAATCAATTGTCTGAGGCACATACCTAATATATTGCACAGCATTTAGATAAAACAGAATGACACATAAAAAGAGTTTAAATATAGAATGATAAAAACTCAACCTAACAATATATTGGAATAATTCTTTTATTTCTTTACTGACAGGAAGATGTTCAAACTCAGTTGGATCGTAAGCCCTAATAAATATAAATATTTTGTTAAGAACAATTAAAAAATAGACAAAAACTAAATTAAGAAATGTAAAATTGAATGGAGAAACTTAATTCCATCGAAATCGATAAACTACAAGACATCTATGTAACATAAAAAATGTAACCTATTACTGTCACAAAGCCATGAAGAAAACTTAACAGCTGATTTACACAACAAAAAATATACTGCTGACAAAATCACAACATAGCAGTGAAAGCGAAAAAGTTGGTTTTATATTTATCATCATGTTCAAAATTATTTGTATATTTTATATAAATAAAAAGCACTGTTTTACCTTTACGTTTGTTAAATAATGTATTGATAAGTTAAGTAATATATTGGTATATTACTTTACTTATAATTTAATTACACTAATCTAAATGCCAAAAAAAATTTGTGCAGTGACATAAGTTTGTGGCAAAAAAAACTTTAACACGTCAAGTTTGCTTTCGTATTTCTCTTACATTATTAGATTAATTTATAAATAAGTAATAAATAAGTAGTTTTAAAGAAATAACATGATAATTACTATATTTAGTCTTTATTAGAACATATCCCATATAAAATATATTCTATATATTTTTAATATAAGAAACTTTCCTAAAAGTTTTAAATAAAATCATATTACTAGTTTACTTTTTCTAGTTTTTTGACTTGATTTTTCAATGATTTATGAAAAAGCCTCGTTTATCTTCTCTAATGGTCTAAGATAACGTCATTTTAGCAATCAGAAATTATCAAGATAGGGCCAAATATAAAATTGAAGTTTCAAATTTTTAACTTGGATGAGACAATATATTTTGTATTTTTTCAATCTTGTCAATTTTTTTAAAATACTATAACATAAATACAAAAAGTTAAAACAAAAAAGAGCAAAAAAGATTAGAAAAGATTTCTTATACTACACTTCTGTATAAAACTTTTTACATTTGCATATAGCATATGTGTTTATAAATATTGTTTATATATAAGCGCAACTTTATTTCTATGCAATAAAGCTGCACTGAGACCATATATACCTCTTTACTGTATTACATTTCTCTTTTTTTTTGTTCTCCTTCTTCTTAAAACTTTTTGGTGTAACTTCTGATCAAATTGACCATGTTCCTTTCCCTTTACGCATCGATATTGTGGCTATTGGTGACTTAAATGCTCATCACAATGAATAGATTGGTTCTAACATCACTGACCATTCTGGCACTAAAGCCTATAACTTATGCATTTTTCAATCTATTACTCAGATAGCTTACTTTGTGACTTATTTTTTTTTTATCTTTTTCAACTTTCTTGAGAGCAAACACCTATTTATTGTTGCAAGAAATCTATTTAAAAAGGTGCTATCTAATGCTAAGCACCATTATTCTCAGTTCGCTAAATCTCATATCTTTTCTCAGAAGTTAGGCTCTTTTCAACAGAGACTTTTTTAACAGTATCATTAACAAAGGTAGGTCTAACATTGCATCTCTCATTTATGGGTCTGACATTATTATCTCTACCAAAAATAAGGTTGAACTATTTGCAAAGAAATTTTCTTCTAATCCGACTCTTATGGCCATACTCTTTCTTTCATTCCAATCAAACAGGTTAACCCATTGTTAGACGTTCAAATCACTTTAGCTTCCACTGCTAAAATTAAACTTTTGTTAATTCTACAGCTTGTGATTCTGTCCAATCTTACAAAAGTATTCTCTTGAATTCAACTCTCCAGAACTCTCTTCAATTGTCTGTAAACTATTTAATAAGTGACTGAATCTTGTTTTCCTATCTGCTGCAAAATAAAATTTTAAGTTTAATTTTTTGAAAACTCTGGGGAACACCCCTTTAACTGTCGTCCAATCAGCCTTCTATTTGTTATTAGCTTTGAGTCTTTGATCAACAAATTTTTAGCATCAAATCTTGAATAGTTTATTTTCAGACAGTCAATGCAATTTTCGATTCTTTCGCTCTACAGTTGGCTTGCTAACCGCTGTCATTAAAAGATTTTATTGAGAATTAGATGGGGGCAGCAAGGCTATGGCTAATGCTCTTGACACCTAAAGTTTTCAACAAAGTTTTGCAATCTGGTCTTGATTCTTATGGTTTATCTGAGAAAGTTTTTAAGATTGTCAAATCATTTCTTTTTAACTGCTTTATTAAAGCCATCCTCGAAGGCCAACACTCTTCTTCATTTCCAGTAACTTCTGGGGTACCACAAAATTCTTTGTTCAAGATCCTGGGTTCTGTTTTGTTTTTTGTTAACATTATTGATCTTCTTGACTATTTTACATCTAAAGTGGTATTCCCTGACGACTCAACATTATACTCCTGCTTTCGAATAATCATTCCCTACTGACCTCTCATGGAAACCACACATATAATTGATTGCTAAACTATCATCTGCTAAGCTTTGCGCTTAGCAGATGAAGCCGCTTACTTCTTTTTATTGTGATCATCATTTAGATACTCCTAATTCCATTCATACTCTTTAGAAAATTTGATTAAAACAATATGTTTACTAGAATGAACATCATTTTTAAGCTACTAAAAAAAAAGAATTTGCTATTAAAAGTGCTAACTCAACCCACCACATTGGAATAAAGACTATAAAACTGATAATACAGAATAGTTGTCATGATTAGAACTTGTGCAGATAAATATAAAAATGCATGTATAACTATGCATGCATATACTTCAAAAAAATTAAAATTTCTATGCTATATACTTCACCTCACAGAAAAAAAGGTTTCAACCAGAAATTTGTAGGAAAAATAAGGATAAGAAGTTGTTGTTGTCCAAACCACTTTTTTTTTTTAAATTCATATTGTTTCCCAACAAGGCTGCAAGCAACTACTATTAAGTTAGGAGTTTCTAGAAAACAAAGAATAGAGTTAAAGACCAAAGAAACAATCGAAAGAAACTTGAGAATACTGAGGAAAAAAAGAACTTGAAAAGTTGCAGCTTGTATGAGTTAGGAAAACATGAAGATGATAGAGAATTTCAAAGAGTTGAAGTGCAAGGAAAAAAACTAGACAAAAGATTCTGAGCATGCAGGGAAAGATAAAGTAAAAGGATGTGACTATGTTGAGCATTAAAGTCAACAATAAGAACAATATTGGCTAAAGAGTAAAGAGAAAGGGTATGGTTAATTTGATCTGAAATTATATCTAAAAAAGTTCAGTCTTGAGAAAAATAAGAATGATAAAGAATAAAGATAAAGGTGATAGAGTGAAGAAAATGCTAGACGGAAGCACATAAAAGAATAGTCAAGAGATTCAAACCTGATTTCTCAAATTGGTTAATTGATGGGTAAGTATACACCCAAATAAAACATCTTACAATTTAAGTTGTTGCAAATTAAAGGATAGCACCCATCAATATTGAGATCTGAAAAAAGAGCAGCTGAATTTAAATAAGTCTCACAAAGAGCAAGCAAATCCGGAGAATTTTGCAAAAGGTGAGATTTGACTGATGGATTGTTACTTTGCAGACCACGAATAATTGTGAAACATATACTAAAATAGTGGTAATGGTTTTTAATGTTTTATATTTTGAGGTATTTTGGGCATGATTTAAGTTTAAAGAGAACTTGACTTAAAGCTCAACATCGCAAGCAATGAGGTATGCAGTTGTCTCAGCCCATTTAATTAACCTGAAGTAACTTAAAGCTTCTTATGTGACCTCGACAATGCTCACTAAAAGCATTAACAGGAACACTATCCATGAACAATATGGCACTATTAATACTCTGATATTTTACAGCTGTTGATGGAATCAGCCTCTTTGAGAGCTACCACAAAGTTCAGGAAATCTTACTAACAGCTTAATTTCAGAGTTCAAGGAAATCTTCAAAAGTTCAGGAAATCTTACTAACAGCATCAGAACAATTTAACTTTGTTTTAGAGCTGAACCTTCATATAGATAACAAAAAGAGTTTTTAATCTCCTAAATGAGGGTGCAGCTCATATAGAGCTGTACCCTTATATAGGAGATAACAAAAAGAGTTGCATAGCCACTATCAAAGAGGAACAAGGAAAAACCTATGAGTCAAGAAGATCCAGCATTCAACATCCTAGGCAGGAAACAATGAACACAGGTTTTTATCTATGCCAGCCTAATAGATGAAGAAGAGCTTCGAGGCTGGTCAACAAAATTATCCTAATTACCTATAAAGACTTTGCCTAGGAGACCTTATACAAGACAGTAGCTGGATGTAACATCTGCCCATGATAAGTATTTTTATTGAGACACCTTCTTTCGTATTAAATCAACCAAAAGCCCCAACACAGAGGAATTTTAAGTCAGAGTTTACTTCTCCTAGTTTTTTCTTAAAAAAAGCAAACCCTACAAGGCAGCAGGACATGAGACAGGTAGTACTGGGGTACATGATACCAGTAGCTGGGTGATTGTGATGATCTTGAACCTGATCTGAAATAGTTAAAAGAAAAACTTCCTGTAAGAAATACTTTAATAATATAGAAATACATCAAGAAAAACATTATATCTAACAGAATACTAGAGATCAAGGTAAGTTTTATTGGTGGAGTCACTAATTAGTAATTGAGCACACACTGCATCAGAGATTTAAGCACAACATAACATTCAAACATAAATATAGTAATTTATGGTTGAGAAAACACCACACAACAGATTCAGACAGAATACAAACATACATATAGTAACTTATAGGTGAATACGCACTGCAGCAGAGGTTTAGACAAAATACAAATTAACATTAAAAATCTAAGAATCATTGTCCTAAATAACACATTCGGGCACAATTAAAAAACGCTTGAAACCAGATAATTGTTTACCAGCTGGCTATCTGGTACACAATTAGGGCACAAAATCATCTTATCAGACGTAATCATTATGGTGCTTGATATCATGTTATAAAATACCAATATTAAAACAATGAATCTTACAAAAAATTACCCTTTCACATGTATTCCTTCTTTTTCATCTTCATCTTCGCTTGATTCACTACCATCTTCCTCATCATCATCTTCATCACTAGCTTCTATAACATGACCACCAACTGGACGCTGACCACTACCTGCTTTTGGTGGACGAGATTGTTTCAACTTGTCCTTTGAAAAAATGTATCTTATAAATTTAATCTATTTTTACTTACCAAAGGTTCACATAAAAACAACTTGACAGCAACTTATAAAAAAGTCTGTTTTAGTGAGATATAAAAAAGTGTGGTTTAGTGAGATATAAAAAAGTCTGGTTTAGTGAGATATAAAAAAGTCTGGTTTAGTGACATATAAAAAAGTCTGGTTTAGTGAGATATAAAAAGTCTGGTTTAGTGAGATATAAAAAAGTCTGGTTTAGTGAGATATAAAAAAGCCTGGTTTAGTGAGATATAAAAAAGTCTGGTTTAGTTAGAAATTATTTTGGAAATTACCATTTAAATGTTTATTTTTATTTAAATTTCAGCAACCAAAACTAACACAACAAACCAGATATGATTTAGTATCAAAAGTACAGTGGTAGTCATGACTACCATAGTTTAGGCATGTTAAAAATATAAATTTATAATACCGTAAGCAAAATTAGCAAAATTTGTAATACAAAAAAAAAAAAAAAAAGTATATATATATTTACATTTTTTTTAACATTTAAGCAACATTAAGAATTAAGCAACATTTTAATGTCGTTTAAAAGTTAAATAATGTGGAAGATATTTTATCGCTTTTTAAAAAATTGAGGAGTGCTGCTTTTTTACTGTAAAACATGTGCAGAGTTTTATATATATATATATGTATACATATATATATATATATATATATATATATATATATATATATATATATATATATATATATATATATATATATATATATATATATATATATATATATACATATATATATATATATATATATATATATATATATACAAATCACTATAATTGGTTAAAATAAGTATTCTCAAAACTACTTAATCAATTCTAATGATTTTTTTGTTCAAATATTGTATATATAATAGATATCAGCAATTTTCAGCTTCAATAAGAATTAAATTAAATAAGAAAATCAGAGTTAACTCGAAAATAAAACTTAATTTAACTAGTTGCTTATTTGAAATAAAGATTTTTTTTACTTTTCTTATTTGAAAAAAATAAAAAAAAATAAAAATAAAAAAAAATCAACATAAACAAACTGCTTTAAAGACTTCAAAGTTTTCAAGCTAAAAAGATTTTTTTTTTCTAACTTAAAAACAAGAAAAATTGATTTCTTTTTTGGCAACTGTTTTTTCTAAAAATATATAAATTGCAACATTTAAAACCATGTTTTTTTATAAATGTTTTAATTACATAATTTCATCTAATTTTATAGCCTTTATGTAAATTGACCCATTTTTACAGGTCTAAAAAGGTATAAAAATGAAAAAATAAATTATTTGCACTTTATTGTATATGAAAGTATGCGGGAAAATGTAATACACCAACACTCTTTTTAAAAATTACAACGCATAATCAGTTTTTTGCGTGTGGGTGTAATTTTTGTGTGTGGGTGTAGTTTTGTAATTGGCTAGTTTTTACAATGTTAAGTAAAAAGTCTAAAAGTAGAAAAAATATTTCGAAATTTTATATAGAAAATATGTTGTGCTCATATTAAATAATTTCAAAAGCATGTAATGTTTCAAAATCAACAGTTTAAATTGCCATAAAACATTTTAGGGAGAAGGAAACTATAAAAAGAAAACAATACTAAAATAATAAAATGGTCACTTAATAAAGAAATGAAGGCAATTAGCCTTGATAAAAAATTTGCCAAAATTAATGACAAAAACAAATTGGTGCATTTTAGAAAACGCAGAAACTTACTGTAAAAAAGGTTAATTGATACTTCCAGGTAATCAATACTTATCAGTCAAAATATCATAAAGCATCTGACAGATATAAGTACATTCAAGTCAAAATAATTGCTTGTAAGTTCCTTGTATAGCCATTTCTAAACAAGGAACTTTCAAAAAGACTATTTACAATTGTGATTTTAAAAACTCTCCTTTTATAACAAATCAAACTATGGCATCAAATCTATATGTAACTGAGTGCTTACAAAAACAAATTTTCCCTTAAACTAAAAAGCATAAACAACCAACTTTAATTGGGCCAGAACTAGCATTGATCCACTATTCCAAAAAAAGTAATGGATTGGTATTAGGAAAATAGAGTAGGTGTTGTTCAGAATTATGTTAATTTACAGAACAGTTCTAATCATTGAGTCATCGAACCTTATTGGAGAATAGTGAAGAGAATACTGAGGAAAAAAGCAAATGTGCAAATAATGTTGAAAAATTCTTAAGTTTATGGATTAATGCAACAAAGATGTGACACAAAGCCAAATGGTAGATTTGATGGGGGGTATTTGACAAAAAATTAAACTACTTGCATGTTGTAAAAAAGAGGCTTAAATTTTTTTGCTGAAATAAAAACTAAATATGTACACATCATTAATTTTAGGAAAAATTTAATTTAAAATCATCCAAAATTCAACTGACCATAGCGATATATATATATATATATATATATATATATATATATATATATATATATATATATATATATATATATATATATATATATATCAGCACTATTCTATAGCAAGGTTTATTCTATAGCAAATTTTTTGCTATTTATTTGCTTATTCAATAGCAAATTTTTGGTATTTATAAATGATTTACCAGAAAATTTTATTAATGAATGTCGTTTATATGCTGATGATAATAAGATAATTGCACCTATTTCTTCTCAAAATGATTCACAATTGTTTCAAAATGATATAAATAAACTTGACGAATGGTCAACAAAATGGAAATTAGGATTAAATTTTGAAAAATGTAAAATTATGCACTTTGGTTCAAATAATAACGAATATTCATATTTTATGAACAATAACAATACATTAATGGAAGTTGAAAAGTCAAAACTAGAAAAAGACATTGGTGTTTATATATCAAGTAATTTAAAATGGGCCAAACAAGTAAAATATGCAGCTAGTAAAGCAAATAGTATACTCTCACTACTAAATAATACATTCAAGTACAAGGATAAAGATCTAATAAAAACACTGCATTGTACATACGTTAGACCAAATTTAGAGTTTTCAATTCAAGCATGAAGTCCGTATTATACAAAAGATATTAATGAAGTAGAAAAAGTCCAACGAAGAGCTACCAAAATGATACCGGAGCTAAGACATCTTGATTACAAAAAAAGATTGGAAATTTTAAGTTTGACTACTTTGGAGACTAGAAGGCTAAGGTGCGATTTAATCCAGCAATTCAAAATATTTAAAGGTATTGAAATCATTTATATTAAACAAAATCAAACAATGAACTCTATTTGCTCATCAGGTCCTGCAGCTAACATTAGAGGAGCAAAACATCAAATGAAACCTGAATTGGTCAGAAATTGTTTGAAAAGGCAATATTTTTTCAGCATAGAGTTGTCGATGGATGGAATAGTCTACCAGCTTGAAAACTGCAAAATTAAGTATCTGGATTGGTAATTAAAAAAGATAAAAATAACTCATTACATATATTTGCAAAATTTTCATTTTTTTAAATTCTCCCCCCAAAAAAATGGGGCCCCTAAAATTTGAGAGAATGTGGGGCCCCGGTACATTGCAACCTTTGCACCCTCCTACAGTCTTGCCTTGGGGATATAAGTATATTTTCTACTACAATCAGAAAATCAAACATTAACACTGCATTAAAACAGCATTAAAACTGTAAAACTTGTAGAAGTGTTAAGTATTTAGTTAAGTAATTACCAAAGTATTTTGAAGAAAAAATATTATTTTTATTCATTAAATGAGATTTGTTTAGGACTTGATGTTTTAGTTACTACTTTTAAAAACAATAGTTTTAAGTACTTTGCATTTCTTATTGTTTAATGATGCCTGTTAAAAACTTTATTATTATCGAATTTTAAATAATTGTAGATGTTATACTATTCAAATGTTATTCAAAAAAATGTGTGGTTGCTACAAAAAGATTTTTGTTCGACTGGTAGCGAACAATTTAATGTGATTCTTTGTTTTTATATTTATATTATAACTAGTTTTTGTATATTTCAGTACAAATATTTGCTTTAACTTTAATTTAGTTTGATTTGAACGGTTATTAGTAAAATAAGTCGTTTAATATTTATTTTCTACTTAGTTCAGTTTATATGTTTTATTAAAGTCACTCGTTTTTTATTCAGTTTATACTTTAAATTAATTTAAACGCCTTAGTAAAATTATTCTTTTTATATCTAGTTTATATTTAGTTTAAACCAGTATGTTTTACTGTAAGTATTTGTTATATATCAAATTTTTATTTTTATAAATTTTATAAATTTAATTTTTAATTGCATCATAAACTTTTTTTTGGGATTTAGTAAAAGTTATACAATTAACATGATTTGGTGATAGTGGCAAAAAAATAATACGACATCTTGAAAAAAAAAATTTATACGATGACATCATATACCAAAACTGTTATGAATTAAACACGCATGGAATAAATTATCAAGTCTGCAGATTGCGGCTAACATTATACAGTCTCCAAGAACCAAAAAAATGGAGACGGTGAGCTTCGATTAAAGCATGAATTTTAAATTTAATGGTGTGCATTCATTATATAGTTTTAATCAAAAAAATTGTGCCCAAATATTTTTTTTAAACATTTTCTTTAATATGAACACAATTTGTCTTGGCAGTTGGGGATCCCTTTAAATATATTTTTTTAAATGTTTTTTTTGTTTTTAATTTTTTAATGTTTCATACTGCTTTTTTTATTCAATTTTATTTGTTTTTTTTTATTTGTTTTATTTTATATTATTTTTTCTTAAGTGATTTATTTAGGGATTGGAGAAGCAAAGTGTACATACATGGGCTAAAATAGGTAAAACATGTAAGGTGTGTACATACATCAACTAACTTTAATAGGTGAAACATGCAAGAAGTGTCACTACATTGACTGATTTTTTGGCTTTTTTGGCTCAGACAAAATCTTTTTAATAAACAAAGCAGAACTGTTTTAATGTAATTTGAACAAAATATGCTTTGGTGCTTGAAAGTATGAAACAATCAAATATTAATGCTTTGAACCAGGTGCTTGAAAGAATGAAGAAATCAAATACTAATGCTTTGAATCAGGTGCTTAAAAGTATGAAGCAATCAAATAAACTCAAATATTTGTAATGCCTTTGATTTCATGTGGGCTGTATATCTGAATCATCTTTGTAGCTGAACCAGTAATAAGTCTGAACAAGTAATAACCTCTGCAAATTCCGCTGTGGCACGAACACATCACAGGCCAACCCCTACCATACTTCTGGTAGTACCATGCTCAATTTGTTTATGAGCCTAGTTCTTCAAGGTTTGTGTTCCAGAGTCAGAGAGGTGAGAGAGGGTTTTAAACTCAATAAAGTAGCCTTATTGACTGTAGCGGTCTTCTCAACCATGATAATTTTTTAGCTTAGTTTTGTATTTTTTTGTATTCTTAAATTTTATTTCTCTTTCCAGTTTATAGTTTGCTTATTTTAAATTTTATTTAAAGTTTACATTTGCTTATTCACCACACTTTTTAAACACACTAACATGCAAGGAGCTGTAGCCAAGTTGTCTAAACAAAATATTATAAGCCTAGTCATATAAGGTGTGCAACCAAACGCGTCTCCTGAGAAGGCTTGATGTATGTAAACTTCTTCCATATTTTACTAACTAAAGTCAGTAAATGTATGTACACTCCTCAGTTATTCTCCCTACTTAAGTCAGTAAATGTATGTACACTCCTCACTTATTCTCTTTATTTAAGTCAGTAAATGTATGTACACTCCTTGCTTATTCTCCCTACTTAAGTCAGTAAATGTATGTACACTCCTCCCATGCTCTTCCTATTAAAGTCAAAAAAAAAAAACAATACAATAAAACAACTAAAATTTAATAACAAAAATAGTATAAAACATTGAAAATATAAAAACAGTCAAATTTTGAATTCAAAAAAATAAAAAAGATTAAAGTCAATAAAGTTTACATTTTTGCAGAAATTTAAAAACATTTAATTTTATATGCATTCACAATTAATGAATGAAAGTCAAAAGTAATAATGTCAAATAAATAAAGTCAAAAGTAATAATGAATGAAAGTCAAAAGCAATGTTTTCAAAAGAATAATAAAGTCAAATATTTTTGTATTACATAATTAAAATTACCTTTGGTTCTACAAAAGCAGAATTTTCATCATCAAATTCATCCTCACTTGCTTCAATTGAAGTTGTCATTTGTTCTAAATAATTTTTTTATTCAATTTTTCAAATTACTTTTAAATTAAAATATAATTTAGTAAAAATAATTAATTAATGAAACTGTAACAATTTTGTTATAAAGAAAAAAGTAAAAGATTCTTGACATTGTATATACAAAGTCAAAAATAATAATTATAAAAGAGTATGATTTTTAGCCCGATGAAAATAGACATTTCAGTTTACAATTGTTAGCATAGAGCTGAAATTTGGTACAGAGCGCGGGGACATTATTACAAATAAAATTTTAAAAGTTTCCACCTGCAAAAAAAGTTATTCAAGTTTTTTTGGCAAAAGGCTTTATCACAAAAAAAAAAGATCAAGCAAAGGATTCAAATTATGAAATTATCTACAAAAATTGTTTTTATACTTTTTTTTCACTATTCTTGAGATATTGATATTGCAAAACTGAGATAATGCAAATCTTTAAAATGATGTCTTATTCAACATAATTTGTATATATAAATGTCTTGTTGAACATAATTTGTATATTTTGTTTTATATATTGTATATAAGTATTATATTATCAAATATATGACTATATATTATTATATATATTAATATGCTATATACTTTTTTCTCCTTCTTTTTTCCTCTTCTTCATCATCTTTTACTTCTTCTTCGTCATCTTTTACACATCAGCTGTCTTATCATTGCTATCATAAAAATCTTCATTTGTTGAAACTGATTCAATATTAGAGCAAAACTGGCCTTGATAATAAATACATACTGGTGAACACAATAACTTGAAATTTTTACAGCTACATTTTGCTTCACTATAATATTTGCAGTTGTTATTTTTATTGCATAACATTAAAATCAAGCAAGACTTATTGTGAGTATTGGTCAGAATTTTTTGTTGGTTAATTGGAACCATCATAATTTGATCAAAAATGGCATCAATAGATGAAGATTTTTTGTGGTTCAACAGTGCTGTTCTGCAGCTTTGACATTTCTCTTATAATCAGTATAACTGTTAAATACTACTATAGAAACTTGATGACTGAAATGCCTATGTACATACTTGAATGAATACACAATGCAATGTAATAAATATCTTCCATCAATGATGTAATTAACATTTGTGTTGTCAATTTTAATGTTCACTGATTTAAAGCAATCGTAAATAGCTGATTTTTGTGTTTTACACATTCCAATTTCATCAAACAGTATTAAAGGATAGGAGGCTTTATTATACTCAAAAAAATTTTCAACTTTATTCTCAAATATCTTAGTAATACCCATATATAGAAATAACAATACCGGATCTACAGGTACTTTCTCATAATTAACCCTTTATGGTGCTACTTGTGGTTAAAAAAGAAAGTATTTAATCAGCACATTTTAATTTAATACTAAATGTTTAGACATAGCAACAATTCCAACTTCACAAGCTTTATGAAAGTTAACTTTATTATTAATAATGCCTCCACTGGCAATAAATTTATAGGAAAAAAATCATGTAATGAAAACCACTCATAAAGTTTTTCAGTCTAGAATCTTTAGAACCTTTCTTTATTTGTATTAATAGGATTTAACAGAAAACAAACAATTTCTTGAGCTGATAAAACATATGCTAACCTTATAAAGCTTATACAGAGGCAGACTGGCCATATGGGCGTACCGGGACAATGCCTGGTGGGCCGGTACAAAAGTGGGCCGATAGGATGGTAAAAAATTAGGATGATTAATTAAAAAATTCAAATGAAACTAATATAATACGTATTTGAACTTAATGTATGTTCTTTACAAAGAATTATTTGTAAAATTAGTGACGTACATATTTTTTAATCCTTCATTAAGTGTAATGCATAATACATACATGCATATATACATACATATATAACATATATACATGCATACATATGGTACAAAAATGCAAAAACCAAAAAAAATGAAAATGCAAATAAAAATACTAATCAAATTCAAAGACCATTGGGAATAGGAAAACTTTTGAGTACATATGACATAATGGATATAAACAAAGAAAGTGTTGAGGAACTTGAATATAATTGTCGAAAGTCATAAACTGCCTGTAAAAACTGCACAGTTTGTTGCTACCTTGTTTTGATTCAATTTACACTTATGTGCAGTCATAATATGCCGTCATGTCAGGATTTAAAATATTTTATAAATGATTACAAATTAATTTTACAAGGTTTTATGCGTTTAAATTGTGAAATAATGTTGTTAACTTTAAGTTTACACATAATACTATCTTCAATTGTGACACAGCGAAAGTGATAACAATCTTTGCTGTCCAATTGTGGTTCTGATATAGTTCTTTAATTAATTTCAACTTTGAAAAACTATATAAAATACCAATAATAATACTGTAATTACACAATATATGACTAAGAAAAAGAGGAAACTTTCATAGTCCTATATAGGCCTACAAAATACTAAAACCTAGGCCTATGAAAGTTATAAAACAGCCTTGGTACTCACCTATGACTTTGGCTTAATATTGTAAGAACCAATAAAAATTATTTTCACATTTATTTATTATTACCTGGTTTTCTAAACTTTGATGCAGTTTGAACTCTTGGAGTTGGAGATAGCTCACTTTCTATTTCTTCATCATCTCCGACTGAGACACTTTCATCATAAGGTTGGTTCAAAACATGAATCTTAAAAAACACAAAAAGACAAAAAATATCACAAGACATGATTCACAAATCTAAAAACTACAGCCAAGCTGTATTTAAATTTTAAAAATACAACAAGATAAAATTATAAATTAAAAAAAATCTGTCAAGGTAGGGTATGCAACAGGTTGTACTGGAGTAGATGCTACCAGTAGCAGAGTGATCATTATATTCCTAATTCTGACCTGTATTATTGTATATTCAAGTTTATTAAAATAATGATATTGAAAAAATTGCATAATAAGTTAAATTGCTATAAACACTTTTATTTCTTAAATAGTATTACTTGATAACTATTCATGGTGCTTGCCACTTTATTATATTTCATAATTCTAATTTTATAATTTTTTTAATAAATATCCACTCGTTTAGTAGAATGCTGTAGTCATATTTCAACTTGGTCTTCTTTTTTTTTAAAAATGCAATTTTTTTTTAATAAAATGCAACAAAAAAGTCTCCTTTCTGATCTACAAGAACTTCGATTGTCACAACTCAAATGAGCTATTTCTCTTGTTCCACAGAGCAAAATACAATCTCGTATGACTCGCCATTCAGAAAAGTCATATCTTTTGATTTTAATTTTTCTTTCATGTTTAAAAATACTTTGTCTAGTTTTTTTTCCTCAAACAGCAGTGTTTTAGAATTCTCTCCTTTTTCTGACTCAAAGAATTTACAGTTTTTCACGTCTTCTATCAACCACATTCTTGCTTTTTAACTTTTTTTGTTTCTATTTTAACTCCTAACTTAGTTATTGGTTGCTTTTAGCCTTTTTGGGAGTGAATTTGTTTTAAAGAATAATTAAAGATAATTCAAAATTATTTTATTTACCTTTTTATTGGAATTAGAATCCGCCATTTATTTAGAATTGTTTACCATACTTACACTCATGCGCAATGGCATTTCTTTTAAATAAAGCCTGGTTTCTAGTAGTTGCGCAACAGTGTACGATTTTATTGTTGTATGACAAATCTTGCTAAAATTTTGAACCTTTATCCACCGTATTTCAAGTTGCTATATTCAAAAAATAAAATGTCTGCGATAATCACTTGCTAAAGAAAACTTACGAAAAGAAATTTGCGAAAGAAAACATGCCCCAAGAAGTCTTTTTGGCTTTATCACAGAGCACCGCGAAAAGCATTTAATCCTAACCGATGTCGTAAACTTCCCTAGAAGTTATGAAACCAAATGTTGGGTTTGAACCGCGGATGTTTTATTTCTAAGACAAGAGTGCTATCACTACGCCACGACTGCTCTCACAAATGTTTCAAAAAAAGACTTTCGTAACAGCCGCAACGAATGAATCTTTTTGAAAATGCATTTAAGGAATAGCTTGGTGTTATTTTCCAAATATTTTGCACTTAAGGAAAATCTTGGTGTTATTTTCCATAAAAATTCACGGATATTAAGAAAAACGGTTTACGCTATTTAGTTTATAATATAATTCTTTATTAATTCGTAAATAGCTTAATTAACTAATTATTGATTATTCATAATAAAAGCTAATATGATTTTATAAAAAGATTGATTTATAAGAGTTATTACGTGGATTTTTTATATATGTTTTGTACGTATTGGAAAAGGTATTCTTTAAACATAACTAAATAGATTATTTAATAGTAACTATTATATTATAGATTAGTCGAAAAGTTATTAAACTATTATAGATTAGTCAAAAAGTTTACGCTTAATAGATTAGTCGAAAAGTTTACCCTTATTCTATTAAACTTTGAAGAATAAAAATAATAAATAAATAAAATTCATACACAACAATAATTAATGCACATAAAACAACGTTTACTTCAAGATAAAAAAACGAAATAGTCGGAACCAAACAATGACCTCAAAAGTATAAAATTATCACAACATCCACAGCGCAACGAATGAACATAAGCATAGAGAAATATAATTATATATTTCGTACGGGTCCGCATTTTACGTGTCCCAACAGATAGTCAGGACCCGTACAATATGGACTGTGGCAAGTCTGTTCCACACCTGACTATTTCTAAACTTGTTCTTAGTTTGGTCTCATTTCTTCAATAAATTTTAGTAAATGGCAAAAAAAATTAAGCTATTTAAAAATCTTGGCTTTTGGTTAACAATTAATTTTCTACACTTTAAAACTATACTTATTAACTTCATTATTTTTTACATAACAAAAGTATATTTAACATAGAAGTAACGTTTGGAACAGTTGTTCAACATTTCTACTGATGTTTTTACTTTTGGTGTTTGGATACTTAAGGCTATAATAAAATTTTAACCCTATCATAAAGATTTATTTAAAAAATGGACACAGGAAACTGTTTACGTTAAACAGATTAGCTGTGTTTGTTTTACATTTTTTATAAAAAACTTTTCTGTAAAAAACTCTTACCAAAGTTTTCTTAATATTATGAATAATAATTTTAGTAACATTAATGTTATTTTTTTAAATAACATTTAGGTGCTCCATGAAGTTCTTACGGTCTTATCGCAGAGCACCTCGGATGAGCATTTAATAGGAAGTTCACGCCTCATTCCTAACCGATGTCGCGAAACTCGCCAAAATTTCAGCCTGGTTGGATGACTGGAGTAGGATTTATTGCAGTTTTAGTTGAAGTTACTTATACCTACTTATACCTTAAAGCGTTACCAATTACTTTGAAATTCGGTAACAATTTTTAAAATAACGGTTACATGAGTGTAACCTATATTTCCTAAGGTACCAACATTTCTTAAGGTATAAACTACTACCAGAATGCAAAAAAATTCTAAAAAAATGGTTGAGAAGGATTTCTAGGGATACTTACATAGAAAATAAAAATATTTATTTATCTGAAAACAGAACAACTGTGAAAAAACCAAATATTTTTTATATTGACAAAGATAATTGACTTAAAAAATTTAGATAAGTTAACTAAGATATTTGACCAATACAAAGTTTGGAGGGCCAGTCGGAGGAAAACTATTCTAACTGAATAACTAATTAGGTTGAAGGGTTGTTTTGAAATAAAACAACCCGTGTGACAAGTATCATTAGTTTAATAAGTGTGACAACTATCAATAATGTAATTACCTTACAAGTAAATAGTTTAAACAATTGTTTCCTTGTAAATATAGAACTATTCAAGAATTTTTTCCTTGTAATTTAATATTACCTCAATTAAATCAAGTAAATATTTCCTTTATTTTAATAGTTTTTAATTAATAGTATGTGTTACTATGTTAAGTGGATTGTTATCAAAAATAAATTTAGGTCAATTTTTGTAAAAGGCAGAGTTTAATTTAGTGAGGTCAAATTTAGTGAATTGCCACGATGCCAAATCAAGCAAAAAATCATGGAAGTTTGTGTGCTTGTTCTGTCTGAAAAAATATTTAAGACAGCTTACTACTTTTCAAGCAGATCGAATATACCAACTGTACAAGACCAAGATCAATATCAGTGATACTTGGGTACTAAAAGGATTCTGCAAGTCGTGTAGAATTACTTTGCTCAGGAAACAAGAGGGGAAAGAAGTTGCACTCCCTACTTTGTTTGATTTTAAGTCAATACAAGTGAGATCTGAAACAAGAGGCACGATGTGTTGTTGCCTAATATGCTGAATTGGTCGTTCAAAGCTGCAAGAAAAACATCCTCTTATAGAACAATTCACTATTGAGAAAAAACCAAAGGTGCAGCAAATGCCTCAGCCCTTTAGGAAAAGGTTTTCCCCACCAATGCTCTCAAATATTGTTAAGGGAAAGTATTAAATCTTTAGCTGCAAAAGATGCCAAATCATCTGAACAAATCGCATCTCGAGTTATTTCCAATAAAGAATTATCTTTGGAAGGAACTATTCTACTGGCTAAAGCATCGCTTTAGGTATAAGTAGCAAAAAACTGACAAAACTTCAACTAAAACTGCAATAGATCATACACCAGTTATCTGATCAGGCTAAAATTTTGTCCAAAGTTTGATGTGACTGTTGGCTGCATTTGCACTAATTTTTATCAAACTATATTGAGTGGTTCAAATTATACAAGTGTTTTTATTAGCGTACTATAAAGTCAAAATTTGACTTAATTAGAACATTTAAATTAAATTATTTTCCGCGGACAAGATTAAATGATTTCAAAATTTGCATCACAGGGAACCTTGATATGAACACTAACTTTCCGTATAAGTGGCGTTATTGGGACAGCTAGGTAGGCATTATAAAGATCCGTGCTAACCGTGATATACAATATATAGTAATATATATATATAGTATGTAATATATAAGTGTATATAGTATAATAATAATGTATATTGTGTATATTGTTAAGCATAATAGTATTGTATATTGTGTATATTAATAACATTTTTAAAAAATATGCTTTTTGTTTCTCACATAAATCTGTAATAATTTTTCTCTCTGGAATTATTACTTTGTATAAATATATTGGCCGTTAGGCCGGGTAAATAAAAAAAAAAAAGCTTTTACTCAGCGTTTTTCGAGTAATTTCTCAGCTTTACGTGAATAAAAATTTGAGTAAAATCGCCTAAATTTTTATTCTCGTAAAGCTGAGCAATTACTTCAAAATGCCAAGTAAAAGCATATACTTTTTTTATCACCCGGCCTATTTTTGCTTTGTTATTTTATATTAAAAATAGCTAAATTGAAAGGTTTTAATCTTTAAATTAAGCTATTTTTAATGCCAGTTTGGCGAGTAAGTTATTTTTATAGATGTTGTTTGTGCCGAAAATTGATACTTAATGCATACTAAAACCATCTAGATTGTAATCACCCAAAGTGATAAAATTATAAATGGTTTTCATTCACATATAAAAATGTAAGGAAAATGTAAAAATATAAGCAAAAATGGAAAATATACCATTATTTGGAATTATTATTTTGTATACATTTATACAAAATAATAATTCCAATAGGAAAAATATACAAATTTATGTGGAAAACAAAAAATATATTTTTCTTGAGATAAGATAAAAAGAAACTTTGAATATATATATATATATATATATATATATATATATATATATATATATATATATATATATATATATATATATATATATATATATATATATATATATATATATATATATATATATATATATATATATATATATATATACATACATAAAAAAAATGATGTTTAAATATCTTTTTTTTTTTAGAAAGTACATTTTGTTTTTATAAGTAGGGGAGAGTTGCCTTAATTGGATCACTTAAGAAATATATATATATTAACCAAAGGTGGCTTAACTATGAAAACATTTATGATTTGAATAATACAAACAGACATCCCTACTATACTTTTAACCACAATTTGATTTAATTAATTGCACTGTTATTAGAAATAAATTTATTTTTGCAAAGGTACCATTTTGTTACAATCAAAGCAACTAGTTCCTAAATTGGAAGACTTTGATCCCTTAATCAGAACAGGTTACTATTTTTAAAAATAAAACCCAGTAAAATCAACAAAAATTGATTAAAAATGATTTTTATCTTTAATTATAGGATTACTACTAACGTGACAAAATTAAAATCTGCAAACAAAAAATTGTAAAAAAGCTTCAATTGTTATGACGTTCTTATAACTTATTGATTAAAAATCACTAAATAAAGTATTTTTTTTACGGTTTATGGTTGTTACTAAGTATTTTTAAATTGCACTCAAACTATTTTTACAGCCCTTTGATTTTATTACTGATTAGGAAAGGAAATCTTTAATGTTCCAATCAAGGAAACTTTAGACTATTATGTTATATCACTGCAATAACATGCTTGCAGCAATTTATAAGATAAATTTATATGTTATTTTGCATTTTAAATGCCATCAAATTAAACACAAAAAGTCGTATAATCTATAGCACCATAGTTTACCAAGTGCAACCAATATAGTGTGAACGCAAAATTAAATCACTAAAAAAAAATGACGCAAAAAAACTTTAAATCAATGGTGCAAATGCATTTTTT